CCATTAAAAAAAAAATTGTTTCGTAGGTCCGTAATGAAGAAAGTTGCAAAAAAACTGATTACCAAGAGTCGTATTTTCCGTCCAAGAATAAATAAATTTTACTCTAATGTAATGTAACTCATCTAGCGTCAGAGATACAGAGGCTACAACTGTCAAGAAATTAATATGGTTCCGTAACTCGAAAATAAATAAAGGTACCTATCAAATATCTGATTTGACTATTGACTTCAAATTGAAAATCGAGCTCGAGAACGTGCCATTAATTTTCTTCTATCTTTCGTTAGTAATTTCTGAGATGCCGTAAAACCCTTCGAAATTATTTCACTCTATCTCTATAGTCTTGCACATATGAAAAATTAAAAAAATTACTAATAAAAGAAGTACGTGTATGTCTGCCTACTAACAATTGACAGCATAATAAATAAATAGTTGGTAAAATTACAGTAATTTGGTGAGTGTTAGCGAGCGGTTTGCAATTTGAGCATTATAGAACAGCAATTTACATATAAACATAACACCAAGACGGTTTCTAAAAATAGTCGTTCGAACAACTGCGTCATAAGAGGATGCCATCCGCTGTTGCGCAATGAGGGAGATGAAAATATGACGAAAAGGGTAGTTTTGGTTCCCAGGCACCTGCCCGATCGATCCTTCTCACAAGGACAAGGTCGTTTATTTGAATCTGGACCAAAATATACTATAATAGATAATATACATTCCGAATTCGAATAAAACCGGAAAGTTTACAAACAACTGTGGAACTGTGCAGATTTACTGCACAGAAAGGGAGATTTTCCGGATTTTTTAAACTGATATAATCGTTTTTAACAATAATTACAATTTTAGCGGAAGTTGCTTCCAGTATCCTTATCTTATCTCAAATTATTATATTTTTTGAGTATGTTTAGGTTTTATACGTTGCTTGATACGCAGGACGATTTTCAACCAAAAATTAAGCTTTTTAGTTGGAAATTTTAAACCGAGGTTCCTATAGGTATCTATTTTTAAGATGTTACGTAATTACCTACAAGCTACCTACAAAAAGTTATAAACACACAAAGAGGGCGCTGTCGTTAGGGACTGAAAGTTTTACATCCCAGTGAGCCTTGATCAAATAAAAAATAATTTGTTGGAATCTTTTCTTTATATAAAAAAGTTGGTCATCCCTTTACTACCAATATCATAACCTGACAATCTATATCTAAATATCTACTGTATATCAACATTAATCATAGTCATTTGTTGGATTAAGGGAAAAGTTAATGTGAATATTTCTTTTTATCTTATCTCGTCACATAATTGAGCTAGGTACATAAAAAAATTTCCGTTTATATCTAGATGCAATAAATCTGTTAAACAGATTGCTAATAATAATCTTAGACCGGTAGACTCTTTGGTATTTTATATCTCCATAGGATTCAGCTTAATATTTATCTCATTTAAGCAATTCAAAGAATTAGGGAAATTAAAAGTATGTAAAAATGAACGTAGATTAATAATAATTATATTATTGTGTTGTATAAAATTAGGTTGCAAGGAAAAATTATACTGGAATTAATCTTAGGGGTGTTCTAATCACAGGTCAAATGAATAAAAAAGTTTTATGTTATCCTGAACCTCAAATAAGGCTTAATAATTTTGTAAATGCACGGCGCACCCCATTAAGTCCGGTGCCCGCCCCAGAAAAAAAAAGATCTAATATTATCATCTTTGTCATTTTTTTTTTTAGAGTCAAATCAAAACGTATTCAAATTTTATATCGGTAAATTGCTGAACTTCTTTTTTTTTTAGAGGTCTCCATAGAGCTTGCAGCCTTGGGCCCACCCCAAACAAAAATTGTAGCTATTATAGCCCATGCTGTCATAGGGTGTAACATGCGCACATACCCCATATAACGGTCTTAGTAGTTTCTAAGGTTTGGTATTTTGTTTTTATTTATTTAGTTTGTAATACGAGTACCTAACTGAAATGCAAGTTTGATACTTTGCAAACACACCAATATTATAAATGTTTTGTAAGCATACCTACCAGTAATCCTGCAGTAGGTATTTTTTACAGGCGATAAATTCATAGAAATCAAATTGAATTTTACAATACCGCTGGTTTTTACTGGAACAATTGTTTGTTTATGTGGCGACTGTGTGGTGGTTAGGAAGAATATGCATTTAAATTAATTTATCATGCGTCATAAAAAAATGTGTGGAGATTAATACATAATAAATTGTTTAATATTTACAGCAATTAACATAAGTATGTGTTTTACAAGTTTTATGTTCTAATAGTTTATTTTTAGCAAGAGCATAGACTCTGGTTCAAGGTTGATTGCTTAAAGAGCATTTCCTTAATAAGATTTACATTTTAAAATGTGTTATTAACATGCTTCAATGGTTTAGTTTATTGGTAGATATTTTCTTCAAATCTACTTTCTTTTGGATTTTTCAGTTGTTTAAATAAATGTTGTTATTTGCCTCAGCAGCTTTCATTTCGAAACTTGAAGTGACTATTGAAATTTTAGAACACTATTTAAACGTGTTTAAATCGCTTTTAGACCTGCTATTTAGCATTTCAATTCAACAGCAACATACTGCCACGCTCGGCTAAATCGCAAATCCGAAAGCGATCTGTAGAAAAAATAGAATGGATGTACAATGATGCACAGTTTCCTTTAAATAAACAGAAAACCAAATGTAATGTTTTTTTCCTAAAATGTTTCCTAAATGTTCGACTTTTTAACTACAGTTTATTAGTTGAAGTCACATCTCAAACTTTTTCTCATTCTCTTGTAGTTGTTTTTTTTTTTCAAATTTCTGATGTAGGCACAGTTAAAATAATATTCATTGATTTTTGATAATTAATCGAAAACTGTGGTTTCGTAAGACATTTTAGGTGAAATACGTTACTCTTGTTTTTTTGTAAATGTCTAGAAGAATTAATCTTGAAAGTTGTGGCAACAACTCTGGCACACCCAGTATCATATTAGTTTATTTCAGCATATACCAGGGTCGTAGTAAATTGTCTTCTGTATTTTCTGAACAGATGTGTACATAAAAAGTAATTTCAAAAAAAAATATTCTTTATTTTTTTGGTGTACCATTCATTAAAACAATCAGAAAACAATTTAAGACTACCCGGTGTATTTATTATTTAAAAAATATACAGGGTGTCCCAGAATAACATGTACAACGGCGGACCACAGATTCGTGGAATCAAAATGGGCAGATTTAGGCTAACTCACCTATAACCAAAATGGCTTCGTTTGGCCTCTAGATGGCCTTAAAGTTGGTGAAAATTTTTTGAATTTTGTAAATAACTCGAATTTTGGTGTTATACAGTGTTTTTTAAAAATTGAAACTCCTACAAAATTGATGTATGGTGATAATATCCGTTCATAACTTTTTCCTCTTTCGGGCAATAATGACAACTATTTTTTATCTGATAGGTGATAGATTTGGAAGTTTTTGGGCCTCTTGTGGAATTTTGATTAAATGAACGGTTTGGATACAAAAAAATATTATATTTTTGAAATATCTACATTATCGTGCCACCCATATTATAATAGTTAACAAAGTGTTAGTAGGCACTGATTTTGTAGGTTGACTGTAATTTCACTTTGATCTTTAACTCATTGTACCTGACAATTCTTAGTGAGTGTTTACAACGATGAGATATACCACCTGTTCGTGCCTAAATTTATTCAAAAAATTAGAAAAAACAATCTAATACAACACATTGATATTATTATTGACCCTGTTATTTTACCCAATAGACTGAATGGGGAATTTTGTTTAGAATTTTTGCAACACTTTACCCGAGTTATGGAAGGTGTGCCGTTATTGCTCAGAGCTAACATGTGGTTTATACATGATGAAGCTCCACCACATCTCACTGTAAATGTACGGCAGTATTTGAACCAAAGATTCCCTCGTCGATGGATTGGTAGAGGGGATAATGTTCCTGTTAACTGTTTGTTCACCAGACTTAACACCTTGCGACTATTATCTTTGGGGTAATTTGATAATAACAGTGTATGCTTCCATATCTAACACTGAAGAAGAGTTGTGGAGGCATATCCAAATTGCCGTAAATGTTTTATTTAAAAAATTGCCCTCAATAACTGCAAAGGGTGTCTTTTAACTTTCTTCGCCGAATTAACCTTTGTTGTAGAAACAACAGTGGTCATTTCGAACAGTTTTTATAATAAGTTGTACTAAATCTAATAACATCAACTTTGTTACTTTTATCCCCAGCATTTTTTATTGTATTTGATTTTTTACTAATTATCTCAATAAAATTAGGCATATTGTAACTAATTTGTCGTATGTGTGTGTATCCATATCGAAGTAACATGTGGTACATCTACATCTTGTCGTAGTAAACACTCATTAATAATTGGCAGGTACAATGACTTAAAGATCAAACTGAAATTACAGTCAACCTACAAAATCATGGCCTACTAGCACTGTTAAGTATTGTAATATGGGTGGCAAGATAATGTAGACATTTGAAAAATATTTTTTTTTTACCCAAACCGCTCATTTAATCAAAATTCTACAAGAGGCCCAAAAACATTCAAAAGTTATCACCTATCAAATAAAAAATAGTTGTCATTATTGCCCGAAAGAGGAAAAAGTTATGAAAGGGTATTATCACCATACATCAAGTTTGTAGGAGTTGTAAGTTTTAAAAAATACTAATACTCTGTACAACACCAAAATGTGTAGATTGAAAGCAAAAGTCCACACCCCAAAAATAATCGAAATTGAATAATACATATTCGAGTTATTTACAAAATTAAAAAAAAATTCACGAACTTTGAGGCCATCTAGCGACCAAACGAAGCGATTTTGGACATAGGTGAATTAGCCTAAATCTGCCTATTTTGAGTCCACAAATCTGTGGTCTTCCGTTGTACACGTTATTCTGGGACACCCTGTATATTAAACAAATATATATATAATTTGACCTGTACAAAGAAATATAAAATAGACATTTTTTTTCAGTGAGAGTTCTATGTTTGTTTCGAAAAGACGTTTTATTTTGAAAACATGTGGTACGACTACTCCTCTTTTGTGTCTTCAGCCTCTTTTACTTTTGGCAGAGCAGTATGCAGGTTTTACTGAAGTCGAAGACCTATTTTATTCCAGAAAAAATTTTAAACGGCCAGATCTGCAAGTTACGCCTCATCAACATTTTGATCAGGAGGTTAGTAACTTATTCTTATTATATGATAATTAGATTATATTAGATTAGATGTTTTATTTTGTTTTGAGACACTTAGTAATGAAATGTATATTAAATTTTTTTTAATTGGCAACTACATATACAATAAACAATAAGATTTTTTAATACCATGATTATTTTTCGTCCCATTTTTGTATAAACGTATGCATATTTAATGTTTTATTATATTTGTGTATGTATTTAGATGTTTGTAATAAATTGTAGTCAGTAATTTTAAATTTTTGTTCTTTATTATATGTAATGTATTTTAAATATTTAAAATTTTTATTTTTCTCTATATAGTATAGCAGTGTCAGTTAATCAGTCTAAAAATCTCTGAAGTGGCAGTTTCGTTCATAAATCATAATCATATTTTTCAATTCATAAAAAGTAAAGTCACTACAAAAACATAACGGAATATTTCTTAAATAATTTTTAGGTAGCCCTTTTAGATACTTTATTCCCTGACGGTGCGGCATACTGTTTGGGAGCTGTCAATAAAGATTGTTGGTATTTATATACACTGAACCCTCTACCCCCAAGAAGCAGGATGCTTGCTCTGTCCGAAACCGAGGAGCCAGACCAAACACTAGAAATTTTAATGACTGATCTCGATCCTGAAATTATGGCAATTTTTACAAAAGAAGAGTGTTTAAATGCTACGGAGGCCACAAAGGTTAGTGAAAATATTACCTAGGTTTGTATAATTGTTTCATGCGACAAATTAATTTAATAGAATTAAATAAAAGTATGAGCTGTTAGCTTATCGGTGAACAAATAATAAAAAAGCAATATATAAATAGTTTGATTAATTTAATATGAATGATTCCATTAATTTAACAATAGTGAGAATAATACTTATACAAACTAATTTATTTACTTATTTTTTCATATGCTAATGATAATAAATGCAGTTTTTAATTATAATTTAATATTAATATTCCATTTTTCAAACTTAATAATGCCTTTACTTTAAGAAAAATTAAAATTTCTGAAATATAAGAAAACATCTGTTTTCTAGATCTCACAGTCACCCACCCATAATTTTTATTTCACAAATTTTGTTTGGAATTTTTTGTCACATAGGTTCTTTAGATGGACTTAGAAATCATCCTCTAAATAAGGATTTGGTTTTTATTTACACTTCATTATCAAATTATCACAGATCAGAGCAAGGGCGTCGCCAAGGGGGGCAGGGACTCTAGAAATTTGAAAAAAGTACAAATATTTTCTTTAAGCTAAGATAATATTAGATTGGAAATTTTTAATAAAATATTTTATTTACTTAAACTTTAATTTTGAAAATTAATATACTGCCCTAATTCGGAAAAAGACCGTATGTGCAGTTTTGTGACAAATTGAGGTAATTACATTTTCGAAATCTACATCGCATTATACCCATCTATAATTATCAAAAATATCGTTTTTGTTTCTTTAAATTTAAAAATTTGTACATTTTTAATTTCTAATATTGTGTTACTCTTATTTTCTTCGTCGCTATACTAGAAAAAACACTGTATGTGTCTGACGCAGACTTATGTGCTTGTATTTCATTAAGAGGTACATAGTATAAACACCGCATGTGACCACATATGACTTTCTTCTCTAGCAAAATCATTGAAATACGATGTTTTTAACAAATTAAATTCGTACGTGTTCACATGCGTTATTTTAAATTAAACAACAATTAAACATTATGTGCAACACAATATATGTATTTAAAATTGTAAAATATCCTGTAAAAACATCCAAAATATCATGTATACCATGTACATGTTCTGGTTCTTTTATTAATTTCTGTTGAAAATGTAGTACATACTACACATACGGCATTTTTACCTAGCAAAAACTTAAATCTATTACGACAAAACAACATATTATGTGACGTTTTTATTGAAATTGCAAAGTTTTCGAACATTCTTGAAATACATTAAAAAATATTTGTTTTTCATTTGCCGTTACTGAAAAAATCAAGTTATTACCTTAATTAGTAAATAAATTACAGCCAAATGAAGTATGCCTAATGTCTCATTGCAATTTTCTCTAAACTGTCATATGTGCACATATGGTCTTCTTCCGAAGTAGGGCAGTATACTACTTTATTTTTTAAAAAAACAATTATTGCAATAAATTAGTATAAATATTTATTGACAAAAGAATTTAAAAATATAAAATTTTATGTTAAAAAGTAATACGTTGCATATTTTAAAAATTTAACTTTAGAATTTTAAATTTAAAAAAATAAATTTTTATCTATCTGAACCAGAGTAAAAGTTTAACAGTGCAGCTATAGCTGTATATGTAAGCTATATATTTTATTAATAAAATGGTTGACAAATTTTCAAAAAATCCGAGATTATTGTTTTACCTAATTTTCCTTGAATTTCTTTATTTTTTTAGTTATTTATATTTTTTATGTTTTTCTTAAAAGTTTTATTAAAAATATTTCTAAAAAAAAATTAATTCACTGTACCTATTTCTACCTATAATTTATATTTCTCCCATCCTCTACAGTGGCTGTAGACTCTTGAATTATTAACAGCTGTTTTACAGTGACAATTTATTCATAATTAAATTCATAAAGTTCTTCATGAATTAATTCACGAATTTATTCATAAAGGCTTTGGTTTTACACTGGTACAGTCTTCGTGAATTTTTTTGATACACAAATCAGTTCTACCAACAAAACAAAGTAGCAAATAAATTTCAAATTTCATTAAAAAAATGTCTTACCTTTTCACATGTATGTAATGGTACAACAGCGGTACCGTTTTGACACTGTCTATAAATATTAGTTTTTGTAAAAACAATACAAAAGTAGTACGATGTCATACAATTATTTACATATGCCAATAACATAACCTCATTACTGATCTGAGGCTGAAGATTTGTTGGGTTGGTACTTCTGAAATTCACAGAAATTTACAAAAATTGGAACATGTTCTAATTCGTGGAGAACTTCATGAATAAATTTATGAAATTATTTAACAGCAGATTTGGTGCATTACACTGGTCCAATTTCTTCACGAAGCGACTTAATGAATTCAAGAATAAATTCGCAATGTAAAAGTGCAAGGCTATTTGATCTAAAATGATCTAATTGTAAGACAATTCTCTGAAGTTATGGGACGGATTTAGAAAACACCTTGTGTAATCCAATAAAAAAAATTAAAGTACTTTTTCTTGCTGTGAACTAATATTCGTAGGGCACTAGGATGCCACATGGGCGATCGTGGTAGTGTGCAACCAACAGCGCAACCAATCAGAATGCATTTGATTACATTTAAATTTAGTAAATATATTCTGATTGGATGCACTGCCTTAAATATTCAAATTGGCATTCCAGTTCGATAATGGTCTAAAAGTACAATATTTTGGAACAAGCTTTTTTTAAATCCATTAAAATTGTCACGCGCAAACATATTTTAACATAAATAAGTAATAATAAACACTTTAATTTGATATTCTGCATATTTTCAGAAAGCAGGAATAGATAAAATAATACCTAACATGATTATTGATGACTTCCTTTTTGAACCATGCGGGTACTCTATGAATGGAGTGACTAAAAATGTAAGTTTAATATGCATGCACATGTTTTATTATCTTATAATTGTGTTAATGAAATATATTCATATGCTTCAATAATGTAATAGCAATTGTTAGTGTGTTTTTGTTTGATCCAATCTAATCGAATGATATGTTACTGATTAATCAAAAATCAAAGCAATATGTGTCGAATACAGTCGCAGTCTGTCAATTATCTATTTCAATCATTACAAACGAGTTTCTGAATTGCGGCGGAAGGAATATATTTTTAAAAAATCGTTTCAATTCAGTATAAAGTGTACCCACGGATCACTGTCTATCTGTTTTAAAATTGATTTTAAGTTTTGATATGCAGGGTGTTCAAAAAATGCAGAACCAACTGTTTTTAATTTTTCCAAAAAAGAAAGTTTAAGTTGTTTACATTTATACAGGGTGTCCCGAAACTAATGCAACAAAATTTGGTCACAGATTCTTAAGTCACATTTAGGCGACTCGTATTTCTTGTTTTTGCCAATTGGCCCCCTCTCTCAGAGTTACAGCCCCTTGATAATCCACCCCTAAGAATAGTCTTTTTTTATATCAGAACCCCGTTGTACGAAAATCATTAATTTTGGTACACAGGGGTTTTATGACATGTTGAATCTGATAGTGCTATGCTTTTTGGCGGGGAACCCCCCTTTAGACACATTTTCTTGGGCCCCCTTGTCTGAAACCAAAAAAATTTGGTCGCATATTTGAATTTCTTAAAAATTATTAGTCGTCTAGAAAGCCATTGAATTTGGAATCTGTTTTGTCTCTTGATGTTTTTTTCGTAATACGCAATGTTTTCGAGAAAAATGGTAAAATGTGATCGAATGTATATATCATGATTTGTATTAAATTCTAATTAAATTTAATTTTAAGTATCAAATTGTTAATGAAAACTTCACAAAAAGAATTTGAAACTTTAATAACAGCTTTTATTAAATTTCTGTGTTAAGAGGAGTAAGAAATGTGGTCCAATAATGCCATCTAATGAAGATTCTAACCCGACAATTAATCGGGAATCGATATTGTCAATGAGTATTCGTCAATTAAATTCAGATATTTCCTTCCTGATAGGGTGTTAACAAACGACGTTCAAATATGCGAACAAATTTTTTTGACTCCAAAGACAAAGGAGCCCACAAAAATATGTTGGGGGGTACTCATCCAAAAAGCATATCACTATCAGATTCCACATATAATAAAACACCTGTGTATCAAATTTAGTGATTCTGGTACAAGGTTCTGAGATATAAAAAAAGGATTATTCTTAAGGGCAGATTTCAGAGGGCTGTAACTCCACTTGGAAAAAAATACGGGTCTACTAAATTTGTGGCCAAATTTGGTTGCATTAATTTCGGGACACCTGGTACAATAGAAAGAAATTTTAATTTTGAGTTTCGTATTAATAATTTTATTTTTAATAAGCATTGGAAACAAAATTATTCAAACAATAATTCCACATTATTTCCACAGTCAGCATCTTCATACACTTATTGATTCAAATATGCCCATAATTAAACTAAACAATATTGGTCAAAATTGGGATTCTGAAGTGGCCAAGGATCAGTAGTATGTTATTGAACTAATTACAAATGAGAGGAGTTGAATGAAAAGGGCAACATCATGTTAAAAATAAAAATCTACGTGTCCCTTCGCATAATGGCATTTCTGTAAAATAAAATATTTTTTGTTATCCACTTGGTGTCCTGATTTAATTATTATGGGTAGTTATTTATGGTAATATTTGAAATGATAAACGTGGACTTATTGAAAACCAAAATTAAAAATGGTAAATATTGCCAACATTTCACTGGATGAAATACAAAATTGTTATAGAGAATTTGAAAAAGTTGGAATTGTGTATGAATCGGTGGTGAAGACGATTGAATCATTTTTCAATTTTGTTTCGAATATCTATTCTTGCGTATAAAATTACTAATTATAATGGGGAAATTTGTTTTCTTTTTTTTTAATTGCAAATTGTAGCAAGCCAGACTGAGCTTGGCTTCATGAAAAATCAGTATACGTCTTGGGTGACCAACGCAATGTATCTATTTAAATTTCTTTATTTTTTGTAGATATGTTTTGCAACATTAAAAATAAAGCCACTTCTCCCTTCAACTTCACATTTTCTTATTTTCTGAACACCTTGTTTCTCAAAATTTAAATTTTGTCTATATTAATATGGTTATTTTGACAATCAAACAATTTTATGATTCTTCTCAAAATAAAAAAATTGTTCTCCGGGCAGTAATTCCTGGAGACATTGTCTGTGGAAGATTAGACCGTTTCTAATTTTGTATTTTTTTTATTGCATGTCTTAACAGATAAATACAGAAGTATCAGATGTAAGTAATATTAGCTTTAAAAGTAAAAAAAAAAATGTTTAATGCAAATTTTAAATCCCTAGATGTTAAGACTGATGAGGTAAACAAAGTTCAATTTTTCAGTGGCATACTTCTACCTTATAGCTTATATAGTTATAACCTACTGATATTACCAATTATTGTGTTACCTTTATTAATACATGGTGCTATCGAGGGTCAAGGGTAGTAAGTTATGTTATTTCACAACTAAAAATATATCAAGTATCAAATACAAGTTATAAATCCTATCCATATTGAAATAAAAAAGTGTATGTGGAAAAAATGGTTTATTGTAAATTGAAAAAAAATATTTTTTTTTCTTTTATATAATATAATAATAATAAGTTTATTTACAAAAGTATATGACAAATTTAGAACAAAATACATTACAACATAAAATCACCATGTATAAAACGTTAATAAAATTTATATGTAAGAATTAATCGGGCTTACTTAAAGTATTTTCTTCTATGAACAAATATATATATTGCAGTATCGTTAATTATTAGTTAAAACAAAATTTCACGATGTTTCTGCTCATTCAAGTAAAATTAATTTGCAGATATACCTGTGTGCACTTGTGGGCCAATATGAGCAGAGTAAGGTAGGCATTTATTTTGATAGATTTGTTTAAATGGCAAGTCAAATATTAAAATCTCCGGATATATGAGTTTAATAATGGCATTGTCACAGAATTATTTGTACCAATTATAAGGTGATGTGTATCTAAAAAAATGTATATGCCCAAAGAAAACGATTTTTTTTTGGTCTTGTGAAAATATGTTGTAGTTAAAGTTAAAATAATTATGAGTGACCTTTAGTGAAATTGAGTGAAATTAAAATATCGATTTATTTCCAGAATCGAGATTTTTTTCAACCTAGAAAATGATAGAATAACGAGAAAAAAATTTTTTTTTAAATTAGATTTTTTACGATTTTGGGAATTTTTAAAAATCTTGATCGCCCTCTAAAAAAATTATTTTTAAGCTGATTTTTTGAGGGAGCTCTTAAAACATGATAAACTAACATATTTTCACAAGACACGAAAAAAATATTTGTTTTTTTTTTTGGCCACCCTAATGCATATATGTACATGCTAGTTTTAAGAAAGAATGTCACCTATATCTAAAGAACAGTTCATAGCAGAGTGCTGAGGGATCGGGAAAAATAAACAGTTAACGAAAAGAATCTTAATGTATTTCGAATTTTAAATAAACGAAAAAAAAAAATTAATGAGCATCTGGAAGGTACCTATAATAATATAATAATATATAATGGAAAATAAACTACTACTACTACTACTACTACTACTACTACTACTACTACTACTACTACTACTACTACTACTACTACTACTACTACTACTACTACTACTACTACTACTACTACTACTACTACTACTACTACTACTACTACTACTACTACTACTACTACTACTACTACTACTACTACTACTACTACTACTACTACTACTACTACTACTACTACTACTACTACTACTACTACTACTACTACTACTACTACTACTACTACTACTACTACTACTACTACTACTACTACTACTACTACTACTACTACTACTACTACTACTACTACTACTACTACTACTACTACTACTACTACTACTACTACTACTACTACTACTACTACTACTACTACTACTACTACTACTACTACTACTACTACTACTACTACTACTACTACTACTACTACTACTACTACTACTACTACTACTACTACTACTACTACTACTACTACTACTACTACTACTACTACTACTACTACTACTACTACTACTACTACTACTACTACTACTACTACTACTACTACTACTACTACTACTACTACTACTACTACTACTACTACTACTACTACTACTACTACTACTACTACTACTACTACTACTACTACTACTACTACTACTACTACTACTACTACTACTACTACTACTACTACTACTACTACTACTACTACTACTACTACTACTACTACTACTACTACTACTACTACTACTACTACTACTACTACTACTACTACTACTACTACTACTACTACTACTACTACTACTACTACTACTACTACTACTACTACTACTACTACTACTACTACTACTACTACTACTACTACTACTACTACTACTACTACTACTACTACTACTACTACTACTACTACTACTACTACTACTACTACTACTACTACTACTACTACTACTACTACTACTACTACTACTACTACTACTACTACTACTACTACTACTACTACTACTACTACTACTACTACTACTACTACTACTACTACTACTACTACTACTACTACTACTACTACTACTACTACTACTACTACTACTACTACTACTACTACTACTACTACTACTACTACTACTACTACTACTACTACTACTACTACTACTACTACTACTACTACTACTACTACTACTACTACTACTACTACTACTACTACTACTACTACTACTACTACNATTTTTATTTTTATTATTTTTATTTTCCATTTTTACAATATACATTGTATAGGAATAGTCAATTAAAAGTAATTACTGGTTTAACTGTATTCAGAGAGCAAAACATACACGCATTAAAAATATAATGTAATATATATATACATAAAAAATAAAAACTGTAAAAAAAACTTATTTTTAAAGTAGGTACATAATAAAATATTAATAATTTGGGACATTTCAGACATTGATGCATATAGACACATAAAATTACATGTTCTCTGACAGTGAATAAAAAGCCTTATCTATTAGATAAGTTTTTAATTTCTTTTTGAACTTTTTAATATTTTGTACTGACTTTAAATGATCTGGAAGACGATTAAATATTTGTAGCCCGATGTAATTTGGAGATTTTTTGGTTTATTAAACTTTACTGATGAAATGATGATAAAAGTCATGTTTATGACATTTATTATAACTGTGAATATCTTCATTTAATACAAATGAGCGCACATTGTTAAATTACATAAATACATAATTCATAAATATACAACGATGTTACCGCCAAAATTTCATGTTTCCTAAAAAAGGTCTACATGATTCCATAGAAGATGCCTAATATTCCTTTTTTTTGCAATAAACACTGTAGTACTAGAAGCCGAATCAGCCCAGGAACATATACCATACCTTAAAATTGAATCAACTTTTGCAAAATGTATATTTAAAAGTTAATTTTGTGTTAATACCGTGCCTAAATTTATAAAAAGAAATTATAATTTATTTAAGCTACTAATTAACTTATCGCAGTGATGCTTCCTATGCAAATTTTCGTCGATATGAAGGCCTTATAATCGTATTGCGTCATGTGAAGGAGACAAAAAAGTATTATTAATTTTAATCGTAATATTCCCTACTTTTTTTTAGGTAATTATGAATTTGTAATAAATTAGTTTTCTCAGCATTAAAAAAGAGGTTATAACTATTAAGATAGCTCACAATATTATTTAAAACATCAGAACACCTTAGCATCAAAACGTCATGATTCTTGTCAGAAATTGCCATGGCTACTCCATAGTTTTCAAGAATCCTAAACAATTTATTATGGTTGACGCAGTCGAAAGCTCAGCTCAAGTCGCATAATATTGCAACTGGGCTGTCTCCTGCGTCAAAAAATTCAATTATTTGTTGATGCTCCGAGAGTATATTATTTTTTACCAAAAATTTAAATAACCTGTCCAAATACGCATATTCAAAAATTTTTCAAGTGTTCAAATTACTTGCCATTTTAATTTGGACTGTCAAATTTGGTTGTCAAATCGAAAATGAAATTTCCTAAAATGATATCCCTTCTAAATACTACATTAAAAATCTATAAAATTACATGAAAATTAGTGAGACTTATAATAAGAATATTTTTGTTTCAAATCACCAATATTAGTATTCTATTTGTACTGTGGAAATGAAATACATATTAAATATGAAATTATAAATCTTTTCTGTCGTATAAGATACATATTACGTCATTGTTTTCAGGCATCTTTTGAATTATTAACTTATAGAACAGAATAAACTTAATATAATCTGGGTTATCACTCTATTTAAATTAAGGCTTATCGCTAATTTAATTCAAAGTTTTCTTGTTACTCAATTTTAGAACATAACTAATTATACTAATTAAAAACAAATTTTTGCAGTAATAGGACATTTTTTTAACTACTTAATTGCACTATTTATTGACTTGACAATATAGTGCAATCATTTTTGCATTGGATTTACTCCAGAATGTTATCTGTAAGGACCAATTTTTAACAGTGATCAAAATTATCTTGACCAAAATAAAATAAAGGATAATTTTTCTTTCAAGTGAAATAGAACACTTGTACGTTACTGCTCCTTTTTGATGATACACTTGACTAAACAAACTTTTATTAGGAACTGACTGTCACATTAGCAGTATACCTATTCATAAATTATTATTACCAATGAATCCACTGAATCACCAAAATTTATTAAGCGTTTAATAAATTGTAACTTCTTATTAACTTCTAAACAGTTTTTAACTTCATTTAAAATATATTTCTATAAAAATGAAGTAAAACGGTAGCACCATGTATAATCCTAATTTACTATGACATTCTTTTAGAAGTCACACTGTTGCTATTATTTTTTGTAGACCATTCACATTAAAAGTGTTTGCTTACACATATTCATTTTTGCATTTGTTTACTGTTAATATAACAATATAATTTTAACAATCTATATGCTTACTGTGTACCTCTGTTAATAACGATTTCTTTTATTTTTGTCAGGGCTGTTACATGACGATCCATATCACACCAGAACCTGAATTTTCGTATGTTAGTTTTGAGACAAATATTCCTTCTAGTTCTTATAGAGAAATCATCAACAAAGTACTGGACACCTTTAACCCCGGAAAATTCACTGTTACCATCTTCGCCAATCAGGTATTTTATTTTCCGATTATTCTATATTAGTCCTTGGGATTCAAATCTTTTTTCATGAAAAATATGTTTTTAAATGCATGTATTTATATTATAGCTATTGACTATTAGATATCAGTGGCATTCACTGGATTTAATATTAATCTTAGCTGTTACTATGTGTTGTTGTTAATAATGAATTAATATCACGTCTAGTGACGTAAGATATTATCACAGGTCATAACCTAATGAATCTTTAAAAGGAATTAATACAAAAGCAATTAGTGGAAAATAGTTAAAAAATTATTTGATGTGACTCGTATCGGGTAGATCTCCAACCAGGCGGGAACTTATTATTGTGCAATAAAATTGAGACATGTTACAAACTTACAAATGCTCATATAGGTTTATGATTGTGATAAACAGGCAAAATTTGTCCTGCACCAATTCAATTTATTTTTTTTACTGACAGTCAATATTAATATTGCTAGCAACGTAACAAAACGTATGAGACTATTATGGGCCACGCATACAAATTTGGATCCCGTTTTATTAAAATTAAAGTTTAAGGAGTCGCTGTTGTAATGCTGATGCTCTGGAGAGTTTAGTAACGAAGTAGCGCTTTCAACATCGATCGTCTTTTTCATACTCTACTTCAGCAGTCGGCTACTGGCGGACCACGGTCCAGATCCGCGGAAGGTAAAAACTGGACCGTCAAAACATTTTTTTAAAGTATAATTACTCAAATTATTTAAAACAAATTTTTCTGTATAGTAGTAGGTTACTTAAAAAAATTGGCTCAAGCCCGCAAATGTAATTTCTCCCATTGATTTTTTAAATATAAATATGCCTGTCTATTGTATTTCATATATTATTTTGTGAGTGCAAATTAAAACAAAAAATTAGTAAGGAATAAGAATTTTTTCTGGACCTCGTTAAAAAATTTCTAAGGTATCTGGACTCCACCTAAAATTACTTGCCGACCCCTGCTCTACTTATTTACATCAGCGCCACCTTTACGTGAACCAACGAATTCTAACCACTAGAAGGAGCTTTGTGTATTCTTATACATGTGTTTTAACTGTAGCAAACATCTAAACAGAGAACTACCTAATAAATAAAGATAGATAGTGTCAAATGTAAACAATGAGACACAACGGCAGTGGCGTACTGTCAATAAAGGCGAAATATTAAAATTTACAAAATACCAATACACATTTGAAAGGATTACTCATTTTATAAATAATTTTTACATATTGGTGATATAATGAGACAGTAAAAATTGAAATAAAATTAATAAACTGTTTTTTCTATACCTACTCAAATTATTTTGACTGATTAATTAAATGCTTTTATCCAACACTTGTATATAATGATACTATAATTCCTTTAGTTTTAAAGGAATAATGTGGCTTATAAGTCAGTAGTGAGTTATAAGTCATAAGTCACTAGTAAGTTATGATTTATAACCCACTAGTGACTTATAGAAATTATAAAAAGACAAATGTTTGGTTTATTTTTCTAGTTTTTATTAGAAAACCGATTTGAAACAGTAATAAGTCAACAAATAACCTAAAATGCTACAAACTTACAATCTACCTACTTATTAATATTAACATTAACATTTATGGCTGTAATTTGATATTTGAAGGAGCACCATCAAAAACTATTTTGATACCTAATTCACTTAAAAATTCTAAACATTTTTTAACAAATTCGCTTTTTCTCCACCACTTAAACCGTTTGTCAAGAAGTACCAACAGGTATTTTCGATTGACTATTTATAGCTACAACCATAAAAACAAGAGTTTCCGTAGCTTTTGGAATATTATCCCCATATACTTCAGTGCCGACATCAACATATCTAGTGAATCGTTTCCCATTCCACTCAACACTTTGCATTATAGACGTTTCGTCAAATACCAAATTGCCCAAAATTTCACTGTTTGTTTCTCTTACTTTCATTTTAATAGCAGCCAATGCTTCATTTGTAAATCCGGGTGTTCCATCTATAGATCTGTACCACTTAGAAATTGTTTTTGTATGTGGCAAAGCCATGTTAAAACTTCCTGCATAATTATAAGCATCTGTTGAATAAAAGCTTAACGTTAAGGCAAACGACCTAAGCTCAGTTGAATACTTTTTATGAGGTTGTCATTTTCTTGATCTTTGACAGATTTCACCTACTATTCCAGGTGCTGATTCCTAAAATTACATATTTTTTCAACTTACATGAATGATACATTGAGCAGTTTCTGTTGTCATATTTCTTTTTCAAAAATTTCAGAAGAGAATTAAGGCTACAAATTCTGGCTTTTAGACGACTCTGCCTGCTGCAGACTTCGGATCTTTTTTGTTTGCATTTTTATTTTTTTCTTACAAATACTCCAATTTTTTTCTTGATCTTTTTGGACTATCCATGTCAGAAGTATGGCATTCTCCAAAATATCGTGGATAAGGCCTTTTCCTAAAAATGATGAATTATCTATTCCAGATGTATTTTATATAAACACTTACGGTAGTGTTTATATAAAATAAAATGGTAATATATAAATAGGTAACAGGTAGAATTTTCTATGCTCTCTGAAATACAGCAGATTTGTTTATTTACTTACAGCTCTTCAGTCCATTAATTTATTTACATTGCACTACTGGTACTGTCAACTAAAAGTCTCTAAATTTTAGTGTCAATAATATTAATGATTCCTTTACAATGAACAATGACAAACCGTTGTGTCTACGCTCGAGATAAAATAAGGAAATAAATTACTGTGTCAAACAAAATTACTGGTCACGTAATCATTTATGAAGGCTCTGTTTTACACATAAATAAAAATAAATTTTAAGGTACCTTGCTTGTATATTTTTTTGGCACGTTAAACATTTTCTATAGACTTAACAGTGTGATTTAAACATTATGCTGTCTTTTTTTATACAGCAAATATATCACACTTATCTAGTTTTAAATCCAGTTTTTTATTATTAGCAAAAGTTGTTGTTTGTGGCATATAATTAGTGCAAATTAATTCATTGCAAAGTTTTTAATGCCTACAGGAAAAATGTAACTCATGTTTTTTTGTATTCAACTACTAGACATCCACTAACGACTTGACAAGTTTTACGATTTTTTCACCATGGGCTAAACCGATGCAGTTAGTCGATGCCCAACACATGGCCCCGATGATTTAAGTCTAGTTGTTCAAAATCATTGCTAGATTTCATGAGGCCTTCTCCGAAGGACTGCGATGGTCGAGCTTTGCAAATTTATTACTCCCATTGACAAGAGGCATCAGTTACTATTGTAAACAGTTGTTGTTTGTGGCATATAATTAGTGCAAATTAGTTCATTGCAAAGTTTTTAATGCCTACAGGAAAAATGTAACTCATGTTTTTTTGTATTCAACTACTAGACATCCACTAACGACTTGACAAGTTTTACGATTTTTTCACCATGGGCTAAACCGACGCAGTTAGTCGATGCCCAACACATGGCCCCGATGATTTAAGTCTAGTTGTTCAAAATCATTGCTAGATTTCATGAGGCCTTCTCCGAAGGACTGCGATGGTCGAGCTTTGCAAATTTATTACTCCCATTGACAAGAGGCATCAGTTTCTCAATGACTTTATGGTGACACTAAACCTAATTGAAAACCTTTAACTTTTTAATAGTTATTGTTGACTGAGCTGACCAGTTGACCCAACCGTTCCAAGAACTAACAAATAATCTATCACGAGTCCCACATTTTACACTATTTTGATTTCAAAATGACATTCTTTTGAGTAAATAAAAATTACACATATTATGTAGGTACATAATATTGTACTGATAAACAAATACGATATTGATAATAGCCAAAATATGTTAATCTATTTTACTAAAATAAATGTTACAGACATTTGTAGAAAAAAATTTTTGTTCACAATATGATGCAAAATAACCATGCAATCTCATTCGACAATATTCATATGGCATGCCTAAAACATTTCTATATGACAACTTATTGTAAAAGTCGCAGCTGTTTCAGCTATTTATTGTATATTTGATATATTAAATATTCTACATTCACGTTATTTTTTAGGTTTCTCCAACAAAAGACACATCAAAAGAGCTACTATTCCTGGATCAGTTTGGCAAGTGGCAGCGTCGCGATGTTCAGCAGTGTAACTTCAAAAACTACGATCTGATCTATGCATTTTACTGTAAATTCCCAAGCTGAGGGTGTCCGGTCAAGCTGCGTGATGTCGCAGCTAACAAATCATTCTTCCTTTCATTGTTCTTAACCTCAAATCCAATGTCATCATATAATCCCATTCCTTTTCCTTTAAATTTCGTTTTAAATAAGTCACCTGCTACATCTTCAATCGTATCCATATCTTCTTCACCAATTAAAAGTATTATTTATGCGATTGATAAATTTCTTTTAACCTCGGACCCTTATGTCCTATTAAAACGAATCCTTTATTTGCATGGTTTTTTGGAATCAAATATTTTGTTGAACAATTTCGAAGAGGCACAAAAAAATATTTTACCGAAAGAGTTTTTATCAAGTTTATTTGTTTATTGCGATATTTTGCTTATGGTCATTAAAGTATATTCACAATACAAATTTAATATGAAGAATCATGATTGTTACTTCAGTAATTCACATAATAAACAATCTAAGCCTCAGTTCAGTCCTTTCTCATTTTTTTACATTTATTTTACGTTGTTCGCTCCTGTTTTCACATTCACCGATTTCGAGTCGCCACTGGTTTTGTTTTCCTGGTGGCGCAATAAAATATCGTGAGAGTTACTGAAAAAACTTTTAAAGTAAGTAGTGCATAGTGGACTTATATGTTATTTGCCTTCAACCTATGAGGGTTAGGAAAGACATATATAGTTCTAATTATCCCCAATTACACTATGTTCTACTCCTTTAAAGGTTTTACTCGATTTGTTTCTGATTTTCAAGTAGAGTGCATATTTGCACTATGTGTCATTTTAATGTAAAAAAGGGCCTTTGAAAAGAATTTCTATCTAATATTTTATTTGTGTAGTTTCTATATCAGGGTTGGAATAGGTCCATTTATTGTAAAAAATAAGCTCTAGTATTACCCGTTATACATAAAAACCGGAGGTATTTCTCTTGTACAAACTAGTAGCTTATTTTTTGTTCTGTTTTTTGGTAAATTTAATAAAGAGTCTATATCTTTTTTATATGAATATATAAATCTACTTTTCAGTCGATTTCATTGTAGAAATTTATCGTTTATAATATATTATAGCAAATTTTCCATATATTATCTCGGAATGTAGTTTAGTTTAAACATATAGAAATATATTTACATAATGTTGATGTTTCGAACAATTTAAAAATTAATAAACATGAATTCAGTGACTAAATTAGTTTATTTTTTCTCAATTTTTAGGAAAACATACTGTGATATAATTAAGGATGGTCCGTGATTGTGTTTTACATAAAAGCATACTTTTTATATAAATTTGGTAAATCTCATATTTTTGTGATATGTATACAGGGTGTCGCTCTTAAATGTGATACATGCGGATTTAAATATTTTTTTTAGAATGTAGGCTAAAAAAACTGATACTGCTGTTTTTATTAATGCAGTACACGGCTATCGCTAATATCAATTTCGACGTCAAAAAAACGCATATGTATTAAACTTATATTAGGTCATATGGACACTATAATTTTTGTAGTCTCCAAATCATCACCATGTATCCAGCTTGTTTTTAAATGTAGTGAAGGCCAATTGAAATCCTTAAAACATAGTGACTTTGATAAAAGTGTGATGAATGTTTGTGTTTGCCACGACGCAAAGGCTTCTAGAAATATTTGAAATATTAAATTTTTTAAAAATAAGTTGGAGAAGAATTACCTAATACTTCACGGTCGAAATTATGGAGAGTGACTCATCGCTAGCTCTTGGACTAGTATGGAGGAATAAATTGTGTGAGGATTGAAAATCCATAGGCATATCAGTTTAGTAGGCAACAAGATGCAGAAAATATGGAAAAAAGATAATAAAACAACATCTATTATTTTCAGATGTTTTATCAAGAAAACGTCAAAAATAATTTAGCAACATTTTGTTTTAAAATTATAACTGTTTTCTATAAAATGATACCATCGCATAGGTTAGAGCATTTATGACCAACAGACCGTTTGCTACAATTGGCACATTGATCCATTTCAATTATTACTACGTTTTAAAAATTCCCGGTTGTATTTTTTAAATTTATAAATTTATTATAGCCACGGAATTAGCACTCTGTTATTACACTTATTCTATGGCATTTCTAAAACGGCATTTAGATTTATTAGTACACACTCGGATCTGAGTGGGACTACTCGCATGAGCAACCTTTTACTGTTATCGTTAATAACTAATCAAGGAGCAGGAACTCATACGGGAAAATTGACAAAATTTGTAATAGTAGAAATTACTTATAGTTTTTAACGGTACGTAGTGTCCCGAAGTGAATGTAGCATGATAAATACGAATGAAGTAAGCAAACAACCAATTTATATCAGGAAAGCTAGATCTAGATATACTAACCTAGAAGTTAGAAATCATAATAATAGACTTTTTGTGTGACACCACATATTTAGGCAACCCGCAACAAATTGTCATAGTTGAAATTGTACAGCCCAAATCTAACCCTTGTGTACTATTTACATATAGATACTATAAAAATGAATGTGCTTCAAACTTACAAAAAACGATATAAAAAAATATTCCTAAAGGATCTCGTATTTTTCTTATGGGAAGTGGGTTTCGACCAATTTTTTTGAAACTTTGCGGGTTGATAGTTCTTAACATGTAGATCAAAAGTCTCAGTGGGCACAAAGCCCCAAATCCACCCCTTCCCCCCCAAAAACTGCCACCAAGTGGCGGGGGGATTTAACTGATATTTGCATGTAAAACGATTTATTTTTTTAATAAACCCAACAACGACTCCAAACAACCACATTTTTGACTATCAAAGTACCCCACTTGACCCTGCCCCCACAAATCATCATACGTATTTTCCAGATTACTGTATTTTATAGAAGCACGGATTTTTTGAAATACCAACAGTTTTGGTCTCACCGATATAATCGGTTTTGCGTATTGCTGATTACGTATCTGGGGTTAGTCGAATCTGCAACTCGGTTTTACGAAAGAGCATGAAAATTGTTATTAACAATTGAATTGTTTATATAACTGTAGAAAGTTTACTTGTCGTTTTATGAAAAAAAGTTTCAAATAAAATTGTTTATTTCATTGAAATCTTAAAAAAAACTATTGTTTTTTTTTTGAAAAATCAATGTTTTAGCTTTAAAACGCTACCAAAGTTTAACACAGAGTATACGTATAATGGCTATAGATATACACGTGTGTTAAATTTAACAGCGTCTTACAGCTTGAATATTACTTTTTCGTAAAAAACAAACTTTTTTTTAGATTTTGTCAAAATAAATAACTTCCTTGAAATATTTTTTCATAAAATGACAAATAAACTTTCTACAGCTATATAAACAATTAAATTGTTAATAACAATTTTCCTGACCCGATTTCGTAAAATTGAATTGCAGATTCGAATTCAGCATGAAAAATATGTGCAAAAAATATACGTTCAAATATACGTGCAAAAAATACTTGCAACTATAAAATACAGATCTGGAAAATCCGTAGGCTGATTCGTTAAGGGCGGGGTCAATAAGTGGGGTAGTTTGATACTCAAAAATGTGGTTGTTTGGGGTCGTTGTTGGGTTGATTAAAAAAATAAATTGTTTTACATGCAGAAATCAGTTAAATGCCCCCGCTACTTGGAGGCAGTTTTTGGGGGGGTGGGGTGGATTTGGGGCTTTGTGCCCATTGAAACTTTTGATCTACATGTTAATCAAACTGTGAATTTTCAAAAAAATTGGCCAAAACCCACTTCCCATAAGAAAAGTGCGGGTTAAATAAAGTAAAAATTTACCATAGCCGTCTTAGTCACAATGCTCATGCTCGGATAGAATAGTCTCATACATGCAGGTGAGATCTTGTTGATATGTTATTGCTGTCATCATTGGCGTATTTTGTCTTGTTTTGTTTAATCTTGGCATTTTCTAGATCTAAGTATTTTTATTGTTTTTCTTTATGTTGTACAGAGTGATTCACTATATTTTGACCCCCCCCTTTAACTTTTTTGTTTTAAGAGATAAAAAAAATGTGAAATATAAAAGTTGCACTATTTTTTATAAATTTTTCGAAAATGATACTTAGTAGAAAAACAAATGAAGTCTAAATAAAATGGCCGCGGATGTTAACTTTGTTAAGTTAAATGGAACATCCTGTATATTTTTACATATTTGGATAGAACGTTCTCTGTCGAGCATAGTCATATAGGGTTTATTGGGTTCATCTCTAACAATAAGTGAGATAATATTAAAAAACGAAAATAATGTTTTTTATTAAGAAAATAAGACTTCTTGTAATTGTTAGACCTTTTTCAGGCATTTCTGCCTTTTTTCTAATTACGTAAGGATTTACAGATTTAGTTAAAACATATTTTGATATATCGGACATTGATACGGTCCAAAATGCGTATAGGTAATGTAACGAAATGTCACTAATTAGGCCGTGACAGTGACGTCATGGACATTATATGGTAGGTCGTGACAGTGACAAGTATTTAGTACGATCTTGACAACATTGTTATTGATTGACAGTTTGTATTATCCACTATCCATACACAGGATCGGAAAGTCCCCATGGTTCATCGGCCGTTAAATTAAGTCATAGAAATCCGTGCGATAGAGAAAGATGGCTAAAATAAATGCGTCTAATAGTCACCGCCCATTTCGCCCTTCCACAAATAAGAAGTGGATCTTATTTGTGGAAGGGCGAAATGGGCGGTGACTATTAGACGCCTTCATTATAGCCATCTTTCTCTATCGCACGGATTTCTATGACTTTCTTTATCGCTATCACGTAACGGCCGATGAACCATGGGGACTTTCCGACCCAGTATATTAAAATCCGATAGCTCCGTCTGCGTCGCACAATCGCCCCGAAAAAGCGCCGATTTGTGATAGCAAAGGCTTCGCCCCCTGGCCGCGCTGCGGCTCCCGTCGCGACGCGAAGCGTCGTGACGTCCTCCCCGCGTTTTAACGTCGTATTTAGAACGCGATCACTCGACGCCTTCCCCGTGAATTTTAAGTTTTCCTCAGGCTCTGCGAGGGGCGCGGCCCAATTTTTGTGTGAAACGCACGAGTCCGACACGCCCTCCCGCTGAAATCTGACGGTCGCCGATCGCCTCGAATTGCGCGCGGGTACGGCTTTTTTATTTCCCCTATTTGCTACGATATTTTATTTAAAACTGTGCCGAAAATACTCATATTTATCGACCGGGTGCCTATTTCACGCCTTTGTTGTAGAATTTTCCGCGAAATCAAATGCGGGATTCGAAATGCGGCTGTAAATACGTTAAAATGCACTCTGTAGCAAGGCCGGAAGACTTCTATTTTGCCCCACTAAATTCTTTTCCCGCAAACCGCGGGGTGACGTGGGACTGGGCACGAGGTGTTGATTCGATCATCTTTCGTCGATCAGGGGCATTTTTGTAACGTTTTTTTCGCGTTAATGTCACGCCACATGTGTATGTGTGTGTGTGTGTTTGTTTTGTTTGGTTGTTGGTTTGTTTTTTTGTTTGCTTGCTTGCTTGGTTGGTTGGTTGGTTGGTTGGTTGGTTGGTTCGTTCGTTCGTTGGTTGGTTCGTTCGTTCGTTCGTTGGTTTGTTTGTTTGTTTGTTTGTTTGTTTTTAAAATTACAAAAAGTCATCTGCTAAACTACTAACTTTTACCAAGTTATAATAGTATTATATTGTTTAGTTTATTTTGCTAAATAGGTTTATTAAAGGTAAGTGAATTGGTGCAATAAGTATTAAAGACTAAAAACGTTGACTGAAATATTGAGAGAATATTTCAATCAACACCAAAATATTTTTTTAGGTTAGAAAGAATACACAAGGTATATTTTTTTTACCGTGGCAATATTCCTTAATGATTTTCTTAATATATACTAAAATGTTAATGTACTTATAAAAAGGTAGGTAGGTTATATAGGTAAAACAACAATTGTGCGGTATCAGGAATTAAAAGGTCGATGAAGAAAAAAATGAGAGGGCAGTGCAGATGAATAGATCCGAAGGATCAGTAATTGCAGTTTGACAATGATTTCACAACAATCAACCCCTGGCTGATAACACCCCTCCATTTTTTTTTAGAAAAAGTGTAATATTAAATGCAAATTAAGACTTATAATAGTTAGATTTTTATTTAGATTCATTTACAGAAACTAGACTTATTGCTATACAAAATGTTTACTAATGAATTTTTCTGATGTTAACAGAAAAGCCTCAATGTATGTAAACAAAAGCAATAACATTTGGTAAAAATTATACAAAATATAAACGTAGACGTAGAGTGTAGATGCGGAAATGAAAAAAATATATATAAACAATATTTATGTTTGTCTTATATTCAAAATATACATAGTACAATGTGGAAACAAAAAAAAAAACAATTCTTTTAATGATAAAAAATGTATGATATGTAAGTTGGAGACGCTTTCATTATAATCAATGTAGCTGTAAAAAAACAAAACGAATAAAAATATGAACGAATGGCACTTTCCTTAAGTTTTTTATAATCCATAACTATTAAAAAATAAATATATGAACCTTATTTAAAGTGAGGTTATTTTGCCTCCACCAGAAACTCGTGAGACTCAATTGATACCAACTAAATTTACACAATAAAATTTGGTAATCAACTAAATTCTTGTTCGATTTATATTGGCAACATTGCGAAATCTTGTTACAATTAGTGTCGTTTCACACACACACACACACATACCCTCCATACCCCCCTTACCTATCCCCACCCGCGCTAGCCTAAGGGCCACCTTAGGAAAGCGCATCCCAGGCTGTATAGCCGCACTATCCTACCCAACCATAAACATGACACCACCCCCGGGGTTTACACAGACGAGCCGACGAAGCAAGAAGAGCGCCAGAAGAAAGGGCCCTAGCCGGCGGGGCCCAGCCAGGACAAAAGGAGGTCCCACAAAGCGCCTACATCGGCCACTTTTGCGGTCGGGATAGACGACGGATGGGGCCCACCTACGAAGGCTGTCCAGGCCTACACGAGATGAGGCAGGATAAAGAGGGATAATCCCCCTCGATCCCAAATCATTGAGGCCAATTTCTAGCCATGGAATAATGGCGCGCACTACCCTACGCAACCATACCACACATAAATAAACATGACACCACCCCCGGGGTTTACACAGACGAGCCGCCGAAGCAAGAAGAGCGTCAGAAGAAAGGGCTCTAGCCGGCGGGGCCCAGCCAGGACAAAAGGAGGTCCCACATAGCGCCTACACCGTCCGCATTTGCGGTCGGGGTAAACGACGGATGGGGCCCACCAACGAAGGCTGTCCAGGCCTACACGAGATGAGGCAGGATAAAGAGGGATAATCCCCGTCGATCTCAAATCATTGAGGCCAATTTCTAGCCATGGAATAAAGGCGGTTAGAAAACATGCTATCTCAAATTTCGGTTGGAGAAAATGCTATCTCAAATTAAGCTTGGAAAACATGCTAGCTCAGATCTTAAATAAACCTTACTTTTTGAAAAATATATAAGTTTATTTATAAATGCACGGTTTCAATCATTTAATGTGCGGATTTAAATTTCTAGTCAAACTGAGATAGCATGTTTTTACTTAAAGATCTAAGCTAGCATGTTTTCCAACCGAAATCTGAGATAGCATGTTTTCGTACTAAAGTGTCGATTTGCTAACCTCCCCACTCTTCCTCAACGATTAGAGAGAGAGCGCGAGTACCCAAACCATTATTCTTTCTTTCTACGGAGTCCACACTACTTGTTAGCACGCGGTGCTTACTCCATGTAGTATATGCTCGAAGAACTTACCAAACCGAATGGACAAATTCACAAAGCACAATACGGGGCATATATTTAAATTTCGAATCATTTGTAAATGATTTAATTCATTTTATCCATTATATTAATAATCCTACCGTTGAGTCTTAGGAAACTAGTTCATTATCATTAGTAAAGAATTAAGTTTTGATTTTGTATTAATAATTATTAGCTACAAATTTAATACCTATTTGCATTCGCTAATTAAAACTATTAAAAAATTATAATTGTAATATTTATACTACTTCTTTAATAGTTTGTTTATAGTAACGTTTATCTCCAAAAAAATATATTTTTATGAAAACTGAAAATTCAATAAAGAAATACTTCCATCTTCCATTTCTCCATTTTTAATATCAATGGGTTAAACTCAGAGCTACGTGACTTTGACTGTTAAGTGCTAAAGAGAGACAACACTAAAAGTTTGTTGTCTGTGATAGTTCCATATTTTCTACACGCGGTAAAAGATGGTACGGTGGTGTTGATTTTATTTCGTTAAGAAAACTATTTTCCAATAAACATGGTTATTTTGTGATATTGATTTATTTCGCAAAGGTATGTATTTAAACTATATATTTAACATTGAGTAATAATGCATTTGGATATATTTTTTTGCATTTAATTGAGAAAAATAAAGATTTATTGCGCTTATTGTTTTCATCTTGTACACCATTTTGAACATTTTAAGAAAATTTAAGTACATATCTACGTACCGTACTCATTTAAACGATTTTTCTGTATTGAGTGTATTGTTAAATAAATACAATATAAATGTAATAAACTTTTAATTTTTTTGTAGATGCCAAATAGGCATTATTGTGGACCAAGAGAGGTAATAAAAATGGGAGACTGCAGTCTAAGTCATTTTCGGAGTCCTAAGAATGAAGAGAAATATTGTAAATATTCTTATTCTTCGTGGTGTTCTACTTGTGAAAAGAATTCACCCAGAAGACGTTCTAGAAGTGAAACCAATGAACCTTGTAGAAGGAGGTGTAAAGAAATGAAGACGTTTTCTAAAAAGTACAACCGTAGTCAGGAATACGAAAATATGGAATTTGAATACGAAACTAAAGATCAATGGCAAGAAAAAGATATACGATATGAATGCTGTAGAGTTAGATCAAACTTATGTGAGTTGCCTACTTCCTATATATCAAATAATTGTCAAATATCTATTTTGACAAATCTTCCAAAAATGTCAAATGAGACAAATGATTTTGTGGACTGTCTTAAAAGTGCCACATCTTATGAACGAACATTAAAATTTGTAGATTTCGATAATAAGTTAGAAAATTTAGGAAGTATGCAAGAGAAATCAAAGGTAGACACTTATAATATAATAAGTGCAAGTAAATTAGATTATATAAAGAACGGAAAGAAAATTGATGCAAAAAGTCCACTAAAAAATGGATATTCTTCATCAAAAGGATATATTAAAAATTTTAATGAGCCTTTAAGTTTCAGTCATAACGATTTATTGAAAGACAATCATATTGATTATAGAAATGCAAATATAAGGAATGATGAAACATCAAAAAATTGTCGAGAATGTTGCACATTAATTGATTTAAAATTACATGATTTATCAGATCATAGGCCAGTATGTTATGACACAGGTACTTATTTTGATAGAAGAAATGATTCAGTAAATTTGCACGAACGTTATAGTAAAGAAGTGGAATATTTAAGGGAAAAGTTGAAACTGCTCAAAAATAGAACTTGTACAGTTCGTGATAAGTCGCCCATAATTATAGAAAAATTATACAATTTAAAAGCAGATGAGATGCCAGATGAAGTGGTTTCGAGCTCAACAGACATTAAATTGAAAACAAAAAAGGAAAGAAAAGTCATATCCCCTCCATTAGTAAAAAACATTAGGTCTAGAGTTGCCCTTAAAACCCGAACTAAATCCTCAAAAGTAAAAAAAGTCAAACATAAACCTCCGAACAGTGTTACTTCTAGTTCTGATTTTAATGAAAGGTGAGTTATATCAAAACCAAATACTCAATGTAGGATTTCCTATATTCTATATTTTAGTTTAAAAAATTTGTAAAGAATAATATAAAAGTAGGTAGTGCTGTAAGGCGTGCCAGACACTTTTATTCTCAAATTTCGAATAGAATGTGTACTGAAATCCTTTTTAAAATAGTATGGGTGGTGAACTCTAGAATACGTGGGATCCTGTTGTGTTTAAAATTAAATGAAAACATGTTTTTGGAAGAGATTTTATATGTCATTCATTATTCATTCATTCTATTTATATTGCAAATGCACATACTAAATCATTTTAAAAATATTTTATTTGTAGCAAAATTTTATAAAATTCAGGATATCTCAAAATAATTTATTCATTATGTTTAAAAAATATACATGTAAATAGGATGAAGTCTATAAGATTCATTTTTACGGGTGTCTTATAGCTGTTTTACATTGACAATTTATTCATGAATAAATTGACGGAAGTTCTTCATGAATTAATTTACGAATTTTTTGGTAAACACACTGCTACAGACTTTGACAAGTTTTTTGACGTATGAATCAGTTCTACCAATGAATCAAAGAAGCAAATAAATTTAAAAAATGTCACCTTTCCACCCATAATTGTACAACAGCGGTACCGTTCTGACACATATTATATAAATATTAGTTTTTGTAAGTAACAAATCAGTAAAAACAATGCAAAACTAGTACGACGCCACACAATTATTTACATATTCCAATAACATGACCTCATTACTGATCTGAGGTTGGAAATCTGTTGGGTTAGTACTTCCGAACTTCACGAAGAAATTGACGAAAATTAGAACATGCTCTAATTCGTCAAAAACTTGATGAATAAATTCATGAAGTTATTTGACAGCAGATTTGGTGCATTACACTTGTCCAATTTCTTGATGAAGTGACTTCATCAATTAATTGATCAATAAATTGTCAATGTAAAACAGAAAATATGATATTTAGTTCGGTCTGAGCACTGTCTAACCATGATTTTTTAATTGTTAGATTCCTTGTTTAATTTCAGTATGACCTATGTCACATCACAGATTTTATTTTCCAGATATTGTTCTGTCTGTTTTTGAAAATTGTGTAGATCACAGCTACATCGCAAATTTCAGTTTTCTCAAAGTAAACCCTCTCATCTACACATATTTCAAAGACTGTTAAATTAATTATTAAATTTTATAAAAATAAATAGAGAAAATTAAAAATTTAGTAATATATAATCAAAGTTAAGTAATGTCCAGGCCAAACTAAACATTCTGAATAATTAAAAATATTTTTCATAATCGAAGTGGGAGTTTTATATTTTATTTCTTTCAAAAATGGTTAATAGAACAGTGGGATACTAATAGATCTCAAACAGGACACCCTGTATTTTAAGTCATTAATTATGTGCGATATGCAATGCTAGTCGGTGAAAATTAAAGTAGTTATATTTTGATAATAAAGACCTATACCATTTTCTAAGGATTGATTTCTAAGCCCACATAGAGATCACGATGAAAATAATTCGGAAGAAATTTGCAAAATTAAAAATTAAATTAGGCATTGCCGAACGTGAGAAGGGTTGCATTATATTTGCAATATATATTTTTTTTTATAATTAACTGATAGATGCAAACAGCCATCTTTTTATTTTTGTAAAATTTTTAATTTTTACATACTTAATAGTTATGTTGTAAAGTTTGAAAACTAAATGTATCAGATTAAAATTCAAATAGGTATAATTAATTGCACAGACAATTAAATTTTGTGAAATATAAGAAAAGCTTAATTGTATTTTTCACTTAATTACGGAAAGATATCTTCATCATATATGCAATACTTTTCGAGATCTCATTGTCGGCAACAGCTATTTTAATCTTCGTTTTCACAAATTTTGTGCGAATATTTTTCGTGAAAGTTCTTTATGTGAACATAGAAATTGTTCCCTAAAAAACGGTATGGATCTCATGCATCATTGTCGGGATGATACCACTGGCAGGTGTATTAAATTATTAATATTAGTAAAAAATGTTTGCTTAATTTTTGTACGACTATACCCAGATCATATTTTTTGTCAAGTAGTAATTAAAACATATTTTTTTTGTTATTGAATTCTTTATGAATATGATTGATATGATGAACGATACAATAGTTTAAAAAAGAAAATGCTAGCTCTACATATAGGTAGTTATAAAAGTAAAATTTTGTATAGTAAACTATTTTATTAATACTGTTAAAAATGTTAGGTAGTTGCCCTTGTGCTAAAATTACTTTTTGTTGGTCCTTTATACGCTTCTAGTTAGAGCTGGAAGCAGTTTGTGTCAACTTACCAAATCAGCTGTAGAGAATTGATAAAAAATGTGATTTATATCTTTTTATTTTGGGAACATTTAGTCATTTTGCAAGTATCCAGCATGCTTTGGCAAGAATTTAACATAGTTTTGAGAAACATTTAAAATTAGGATATCCTTACGGGTGATTAAACAATCAAAAACTTAGGTGTTTCATTTTATATTTGGCTGCCAGCATGTTGAAACGCCGCACATGAGGCAACACGTTTCTTACTTTAAACAAACAAATTATTTTTAAGTTTTAAGTGTTATGAGTTTGTAATATTAACAGAAGACAATGAAGTTAGATATAATAGAAACTGAAAAGTAATTATTATTAATATAACATTGGTGTTCTCAGCTCGACATAATAAAAAGATTTTTTCCATATTTTAGTGATTATAGTGGTACGGATAGTGAAAATGAAGTTACTGTGGATGAAGAACTTAATAGTATAAGTGAATCTTTAACTGATGAAAGTAATAGAGAACCTTCTGGTGTTAGTGCTCCTCTTCCACGTGATTCAGGTAAGTTTTTAACTTGAATTTTAACAAAATTTAAAAAAATAAGTAATATTTAGAAGTAAACACTTGGATCTGTCATCTTAGAGATGGGAAATAGATTACTATTACAATGGCACATCAAAAATAAAGAAGTATATTCCTTATCCAAATTTAAGATTAATTTCTTATATAAAAATTTGCCCTTAGAACCTTGATTTTGGGATACAGGGTGTTAAAGTTTAAAAATACATGTACATATATCCCTAAATATCTTTATGAAGTCATTGTATTCTTATATTTTGAACATTTCTTGTTAAATCATTTAAATAATTGCAAAAAAACTATAACTAAACTTACCTGTATCTACTATTTTGTTTAGCTGCTACAGAGTATCAAAGTTGCCAAAAAATTATGTTTTTCAAATAACTTCTAAATACTCCCTTAAATTAAATTAAATTTGGTATTCTAGTGTAGGGATGCCACTTTTTTTAAATTATCGAACCAATTGCTTTTACAAAAATAGGAAAAATATATACACTTTTTATTTTAGGGTTTTTTTCAAATATTTTTTTTTAGTGCAATTTTTTTATGTATTAATGATTTCTCGTAATTAATAATTTTATTTGTCACCATAGTATTTTTAATATAAAACTGATTTCTGTTAAAAAATTTCAATTATTTAACAAAAAAAGTGAAAATACTTTGTGCAAGGATATCTGTTCTTTCACGAAAATTTTTGAAATTTGTTAACATTTTCCATCACATAATTCGTTAAAAAAACAATGTTTAAAATTTTCCTCAAACGCAAGGGCTTTGAAAGCAAATGCTTATGTAACAAAACATTCTTAAATTCTCTTAATTTTGTATGTATTATTATATTAAATCCTGGATATTACTTTTTTTAAATGATGCAAGGTGCCAATAAAACCATAAATATCTTTCATCTGTCGCAATTTTTCACACCGATGATAAATAGTGACCAGTTGTGTTCCGCGAAATATATTTAGAAAATTGAAAGTGTTCCACCATTAGATAAAATATGACCCATTATGCTACATTAAATAAAATTGTTGACATATTTACATCCGCAGCAAATATATCATGATAAAAAAAACTTACTGCTCATAAATATGTTTGCTTGTCACTAAACTTCACTTAGTAATTGATGGCAATTCAAATAAATGGTTTTATTGCAAATCGAATTATAATTTCTTTTAAGATCGATTTTTTTTATATAAGTTTTATCAATAAAATATTGTAAAATCGTCGTTACAAAATTACATTTACAAATTTATAAATATTTTGGTAAACAATTATTTTTATTTCCAATTTACTCTTGATATTAATTGTAAGTATAATATTAGGCAAGTAGTGAACATATTATGTAGAGTTTTTATAGTAATAATAATTTTTAAAGTAGAATTTGAAAAACCTAAACAATTTAATAACTATAACTCCAGTTTTTAAATTATCATATAAATATATATATATATGTATAAAAATAGTAATTATTCTTATTATTGTAAGGGTATTAAACTAATTCAAATAAATTCACCATTTTTTTTTCCTAAAAAACCTTATCAAATGAGGTCAAACAATGTTTTTCGATATTAGAAATCTATGTACACAAAAGACAAGATTCCTAATTTCTGATATTGCGGGAAACAACACTATATGGATTGCATGCCCCCACTAGCATTGAATTACACCAACAATACCTAGTAAACAGTTGGTAATAAATAATTATCCAAAATAAAAACTGCAAATTATATGTCCAAATATAATTAATAAATAAACACATTTATTTGAATTAGCTTAATACAGTAGAGTAATAATATAAGAGTTAGTAATAGAATATGTTTTTTAAAGAAATTTATATTTTTAAAATATATTATTCGTCCGCTGATTATTTAAATAAGAGAAATAATATTTATTCATTACTTAGAAGTGTAATAAATCCCTTCAGACATAGGAATGTGTTGCTTCGATTGTGGACTGTATTTGTTTTTAATGAGATTTATTTACTTGTACATACATAGATTATGACAATATTAATGATTACATTTAACGTGAGTCTCTTGAACCTTGACACATATATTCTGTCACTCAATAATTTACGCCGTCTTGTTTTTGCTTCGCTTCACTTCCCCACTAGGGTCCATTTCGCACAAGAGCACTAACAGAATGAATATTAATGTAAAAATAGATTTTCAAGTTCATGTTGTGGTGTTTAAAGTAGGTTATCCCAAAAATCCGAAGTTATATATAATATTTGTATCAAGGGATGTATCCTGTTACGCACATGTTGAAATTTTCAAGTGTTTCTATTTTAGTTATGAAGGTAGGAGTAATTAAAAATACACAGCTTTACTCACTTCATAATTATTAACTCAAGGACTTGAAAACAAAAATTCTTTTCTCATTAACTTATTTACTTGAGATACAGGGTTGATCATAAAACTTGAAATTTTATAACGCGGGAACTATCATGGATGTGTAAATAAATTCTGAAGAAGATACAGCATTGCCTCATAAACTCATGTATAATTAGTAAAGAATTATAAGTTGTTGAAATTAAAAAGAAATTAAACTATTTTTAACCTCATTAATGAAGAAATATATATATTTTTTATAATCTATCATTTAGAGACCATGGGGGTCATATCACCATGCTTATCCGGCTAGACCCTTTATAACCTTTTAAAAAATAAAGGAAAACTAACAAGTGGTAGTTAAAATTTACAAATTATATTTTTGGAAATTATATTAATTTCTAACTTGTAATCTTAACTACGTAGGTACTCACGAAGTTTATGGGTCTATTTATTCTACTAAAATTAAACACTACCTATTTTATTGATAATCCTGTCTTAAAAGACTAAAAGTAGAAAAAAACATGATTCCAAAAAACATCTTGTTGATACTCATCTTGTTTTTGATATGTTTGTTTTATTTATTTTATACAGGGTGTTTTCACTTTAAATTTGGAAAATGCAGGAATGTATTCCCTATAAAAAATTAAGTGTAGTTTGGTCTATAATTTTTTTTTATGAAAGCCTTTGTTTTGGAGATACAGGGCGTTGAAGCTTAAAAAAAATAAACACTTTTTGACATATCTCGGCTATCCACTAGTAGATTTGATTTAAACTTGGTACACATTATGCTTATTGGGGGTTCTCATAATTAACAGAATATTAGTCCTATCGCATTAGCCAGTGGCGTGCAAAGGGGGGATGCGTGGCCCCTTTTTCAAAAAAAAGTACGCCATTGACTTTTTCGAAGAATGTAAAGTAAATTTAAATACTACCATACAAAAGCAATCTAAAAGGTCTCTTGGTATTTTTCGATAATACGCAGCGTTCATGAGATTCTTGGACTATTAAGATTTCAATGCATGAAAAAAAAATTACGCTAATGCGATAGGACTAATATTCTGTCAATTATGAGAACCCCCAATACGTATAATGTGTACCAAGTTTAAATCAAATCTACTCGTGGATAGCCGAGATATGTCAAAAAGTGTTTATTTTTTTAAAGCTTCAAAACAAAGGCTTTCATAAAAAATTTTGATGGAGCAAACTACACTTAATTTTTGATAGGGAATACATTCCTGCGTTTTCCAAATTTAAAGTGAAAACACCCTGTATACCCATAATGTCATTCTTAATAAATTACATAAATATCCCCATAACTGAAGTCTGTTGATTAGCATTGTTAGAAGCAGATCTGAGCGGTAAAAACACAAAAATGCTGTAAATGATCTGAATTTTTTGTTTGTACCTCGTTTGCTATAGAAATCACTGATTTCTTGAATTTGGAAGTTGAGCAGTAATAATCATAACTTAGCAACTGTTTGTTTTAACACCAATATTTCTGTTATTGCTTCAAAATTGTCAACTGTCAAAACAACCTGATTTATAAAATCAGCTGCTTTGACTCGAGCAACACAGAGCTTTGGTGTCCTACATCCTAGATCTCAAAAATGGCAGCATTTAGTTAATAAACAAATATTTAATCTTGCTTTGAAACGTGTCAAGGAATTCGGAATATTGCAAACAATTCAATTATCCTGTCATAAAAGTTAACAGGTTAGAAATCTCCCAGGTTTGTGGCTGAATAATTTTTTTAATTGAAAACATTTTCAAAAAAATATAAAAACATTATTTGTTAATTGTAAATATTATGAATAACTCTGTACATGATAAAAAAAAACTTTAACAGGTCATTTGTTAAGTAAAAATAAGCAAAAAAGATTATATATACCTCGGTACGAAAAATGTACTGTTTCCTTCCTCCTGGAACACTCTGTACATTAATTTTAGAAATTCTTTCTTAATTAAATATGTGTTCCTATTTAAATTTTCATTTAAATTTTTCATAACATTCTGTTCTTGAATAATATCAATTTAGGGAAAAGAGAAATAATCTTTTAAATATAAACAGTGATTCATATGAGCAAATATGTGATTTTAATAAAACCTGAAAGATGTTATATGGTTATGTTTATCAGTTCACTCCACAAATCATCCTCTAAAATTTTTGGATTATTCACAGGTTCTGGTGATTCCTTAAGTTGGCCAATTAGACCTAGTTTATTTCCAAACATTCCACCGTACATCCACTTCAATACGCACGACTCTGAGATAGAATTCAAAGTTCCGAATGGAAGGAAGTTTTTCAAATGGAAACTTAGCACCATTACTCCGGTAGTAGTTAGAAAAACCTTAACAAATTCAGGGTTCACACTGGTTAGAAGTGAGTTTACTAGAGGTAAACCCCGCCCCATATCCTTTCCTATCTCCAATTTTTCCAAATAATCTCCTGTGACATCAATAATTCAATAATTTTATATATTTTTTACAATAAATAAAGATTATAATTTATTTTCTAAACATACATTTTTTAGAATCTAACCAATGGCTTGGTACGTGGGGGAAACACATGAAATCCCCCATGTTCAAAACTTTGAAGGAAACCCAAAAACTAAATCACTTTCCTGGTACTTTTCAGTTAGGAAGAAAGGATAGGCTGTGGAGAAACTTCCAAAAGATGATAAATAAATTTGGTCACAAAGAGTAAGTAAAATTTTGAGTAACTTTTTTTAGTGTATATAATAATTTAATTATTTTATGTTTTGAAATCTGCAATTTAGCATCAATGCTTTGATTTTCAAGATATAAGGTAAATTAAAAGAAAATGTGAAGCGTTCTCACTTAAATTTGCTATGCAGCTTTAGTTCTTGATTATCTACACAAATGCACCGACATTTTTTACGCTCAAGGTTGTAATTTCGAGTACGGGCAGTGAATTTCGTTTACAATTATCATTTTTATGACAGATCATTAAAAGCTTCACAAAAATTTGTTCTTTAATCTTTATTTAGTTGTTTTTAAGTTGAATGATATAATGTTTTTTAAACGCGGAATATTCAAATAATCTGAAGCTAATCATTTTGAATAATTAGTCGTATTGTGTAAACAGGATTTCTAAAAATAATTTTTGACCGTGATCTAGAGCCAAATATTGTCATTTCATTATTTTTAAATGACATGTTTATCATGATTATTTTGTGCCAAAAGTGTTATTTCTGAGGTAATTTTGGCATCTGCATATCCGTTTGATCGCTTAAATTTTACATGAACATAAATTGGTAGTAATGGTTTTTAGCATCCAAGTTAAGATGTTTTTTACTCTGTAAATAAAATTTAGTACTGTGTTGATGTCTTTAAAAATAGGCACTGAAAATACAGGATGTAACATTAAAGAGTGTGTATTGCATACAGGAGATGCAACACATGTCAAAAATGAAGGAACATGTTTCTTGTCCAAATTTAAGAATACTTTCTTATATAAATGTTTGCTCTTAAAGCGGTTCCTGAGATGTAAGGTATTCAACAATTTTTCAAAAACGAGATATCTAAATATCTTTATAGAAACATTTTATTCTTTTTTATATTTTTTCCCTAATTTAGATAAATGTATCACCTTTACAAATTGCTAAATTATATTCATAAAATTAACATTAAAAATATTTCCGGCGATGTGCCATCATTTTTGAGAAAGATAAGAATATATTTGGCTGAGACTTAATTTTTTCATATTTATTTATTTTATTTGTAAAAATGAAACAATGCAGGCAGTTCGAAGTAGCGGGTACAATAGGCCTCTTGCAGAATAAAATATTTTAATAGTTTTTGTATCTACACTGAATACTACAATGTGTAAAAGTTTTGTTAATATTAATTTATTTTTAAAAAGTTATTAGATATTAAAGTTTTAATCGGTTCGCTTCGCGCGCAAACGCCATGGACTGGGATGTCGACACGTTGACGTCATTGGTAAGTAAATGGCAAGCGCGACAAATACAATGGACACGTTTCAACAGTGCAGCTGACTGCTTTGGTTATTAAATGTGTGGAGTGGTGTCAATAAACAGTACGATACCTTATATATACTGTAAATTTGTGAAGTTAAACTTATAATAACTATTGCAAATCCCTCTAAACCATATAAATAGTCCAGACAGCATCTATTTCAAAAAGTCCATATTTGGGTAAATCGTATATCCACGGAGATTTTTAGCTTTTTGGCTTTCAAATTCACTAGAAATGAAAATTTTTATATGCGCCTAAAAAAAACGTGGGCTTAACTTTTGGCGGCACAATATGTTAAAAAAATTCGAAAAATGTCATATTTTTCTTCCTATTTAATTATGTATTACATTACTTTTTAGGGAATTTTTTTGAGGTCTTTAAATTTGGTTGGGACTTTCATACTTGGCTCAAGAAAACTTCATGTTATGTAGAATCATCACATCAAATTTCGTCAAAATAGGTTAGATAGATTTTGCATAATAATTTTGCAATCCAGATTTTGAAAAATTCAAAATTTTGCACAGCAAAAACCAAGGCCCTTAGATACTTGAAAATTTAATCACTTATAGAAGGGCTCTCAAGCTTTCAAACGCTTTTTGAAAAATTTGAATCCGTCAATTAGGAGAGCATAGAAAAATTTTCATTTCTAGTGATATTTGAAAGCCAAAAAGCCAAATGGATATACGATTCACCCAAGCCAAAACAGATACCGCCTAGTCTAAAATACTATTACTGGTGCATTGTACCGATGTGTGAAAAAACATCAGTAAAAATGCCAGAAAAAAATGTATTTTAAAATAAATTTATGTAGATATCTATAAATCACATTTTCAAACCTGTTTGCTTTTATTCCCCTTATTTCTGCCGAATAAAATAAAATGCTTTTCGAAAAAACTCCGCAATCATCATGGAATTCGGTAAATTGTCTGATTGGGCTTTAGCATAACCTTATTCGGTCATGTTACAAATATTCTTAAGAATTTTTAAAAAAGTAAAAACTAATTATGATTATTTAAAATAACAAATTTAGATTCAAAATATTATTTAGGTAGTAAATAATATTATGCTACCCGAGGAATGCTAACTTGGAACTAACCGTCATAAAAATTAAATATTATACCTACACAAACTTAATTATTTTGCTACATAAGTGCATATTTAGGTATACCTACATAATAGAATGGAAACCAGTTAATAAATATAACAGCACATCAGTATCATTATCGTATCATATGTAAATTAAAAATAATAAATGTTTTTAAGAATAAGAAGTAATAGGACCGACATCGTTTTCTAATGTGAAGCGGCCAGTTTGCTTACTGATGACGTCGCATCAATAGCAACTCGTTCTACGACACGCCCCTACAGGATGCTCATCTCCAAATTTTGACGTACAATTTAGTCAATTTTCGAGTAGAATTTTTCACAAGAGATTTTATAATTAATAATTTTAAATAAGGCCATATTTAAATATGTGAACTAATATAAAAAAATCCGGCATGTCCAAGAGATCAAACTTAAACACTTTTCGAAACTTTTTAAGGTTCTTTATTACACACATTGTAATCTCTTTATGCAATGACTGACTATACTTAATTGCTGTACCCGCATATTTCCCACTTTTTTTCTAGACAACATGAAAATGAATCTAAAGTAAAACAAAATTTTATTTCAATATCTACATTATTTGTTTAGAAAACAGGTTAGACATTTTTTTCAATTTAACACGTATCCTAAAAATGGAGGCTTCAATTGTAAATGTTTATACAGGGTGGTACTGAATTGTTCATGATACTTTCAGACAAATATTATGTCGAAGAATAAATATACTTTTTTAAATAAAATATTTTCCGAAAAAAATGTATACTCGGTAAACCCAATGTAATTCGCCATACTTTTATTTCGACTACATTAATAATTTCAAAAATATCAAAACTGGTTTACTCGAAAAATTTTCTTGTCTTGTATCTTCGGAATAAAGCGGCGTTTCAAAAATCATAGGACAAAATATTCTTAGAATATTCCAGGGAATATTTTTTGAATTTATGCCATATGTTTAATAAACACCCTGTATATATCCATTTGGAAAGAAATCATATCCTTATTTTTTGATATATCATCCATCTCAAAAACATCGGAAACAATTTAAGACCACAAAAGAAAATATTCTTACTCTTATTCTTACATTTGGACGAAAAATTTTGGACACAATGTTACATCCTGTATTGTATAAAAGGTAATTAGTTGTTTCTTTAAAATTCAGGTTTGGTTTTTTACCTCATACATATGTTCTACCTCAGGAGTTGAAATTGTTAAAACAGAATTGGGAATTCAAGAATGGAAATGGTGGTGAGATGTGGATAATTAAACCTGTAAGTATTTTTTTATTAATTTGTGTTATTATTGGCTGCTTTATCAATTTTCAAAGAATATTTTAAGAACATTTAAAAAAAAACTTTTGAGAATTGTTACTGAGAACTCATTACAGGTTCGTGTGGTGTCTCATTAATCAGACATTTTATTTTAAGTATGGCTTGCCTGGTGAAAACAAAAAGTGATTTAAAAATAGAGGTGCTCAGGGACAATAAAAATAAAAGTTAGATTTTTTTATATATATCGTTAATATTAAAATGCTTCACTGGATATTCGCATTTACCTGCAAAATTTTGGTCGAAACTACATACTAATAAATATTGGAGCACTTTTTCCAGGATAAATATTTTTGAATTTGTTTGAATTATATTAACGCAGAACATCCGAGTAGACTGCGGAAAAAATAGATAAATTTTAAGAATTATTATTTCATACATTATCTCTTCGATTTTATCTTGAAAGTAAACGTACATGTTTTATTAATATACAGGGTGTTCCGGAAAACACTAGCAGAAATTCAGGGCCTGATAGAATTTCAAAAAATATTACAATTTGTTCCTATAAACCATGGGTGTATCTTTTTCAGTTTTCAAGATACAGGGTGTTGAAAATAATTTTTTAGAATCTAGTTTCTGTCCTATTTTCCATAAAATTCGAGCAAATGAACTAAAATTTTGTTATGTGGGGTTTCTGGGGATGCTAAATGCTCTGCAGTTATTAATTTTTAGTAATATCATACAGGGCATTCAGTGCAGTACTCCGCGGGAACATTTTAGGTCTTAACATTTTTTAGGTTTATCTTTTTGCCCACTTTATCACTTGCTATTATGGCAATTTTTATTCTAAACAAAAAAGGTTCTCTTGTAAGAAGTGCTAAAATTTGCCCGTTTTCGAGAAAAACCAGGCATAGTGCGAAGAAATAATTAAGTGAACAAGAAAATCCTACATTTCGAAGTAGAAAACCTATTTGAAAATAATGTGTCAAATTTTGGAAGCAACCGTCTTTGAATAGTATGCTTCGAGATAATTGTATTTGAAGTTTGGTAAAGAATTGACTTGCTTGGGAACTCGGTCGCTCGTCAGTTCGTTTTGGTACTATTAAATGCGTAGCTCTTGATTGTAACTAATAAGTAAATAAATAATAATAGTCCGTCTGTTTCAAAAAGACATATTTGGATGAATCGTATATCCACGGAGATTTTTGGCTTTTTGGCTTTCAAATATCACTAGAAATGAAAATTTTTCTATGCGCATAAAAAAAACGTGGGCTTAACTTTTGGCGGCACAATATGTTAAAAAAATTCGAAAAATGTAATTTTTCTTCCTATTTAATAATGTATCTTTTCAAGAGTTGATTTTAGGCGAAAATGGAAGAGGAAAAAAATGTTTGCAATTAAATTTTTTACAAAACATATCTAGTTACAAATCAAATGAATCATGGTTATTATGGTAAAAATCGAAAAAATCGCAAAAATGGGGTTAAAAAAACAATACTTTTTAGGGAATTTTTTTGGGGTATTTAAATTGGGTATAGGACCTTTATACTTGGCTCAAAAAACTTCATGTTATGTAGAATTATCACACGAAATTTCATCAAAATCGGTTCGATAGATTTTGCATAATAATTTTGCAATCCAGATTTTGAAAAAAAAAATTGCAAATTTTCAAATTTTTGCACAGAAAAAACCAAGGCCCTTAGATACTTGAAAATTTAATCATGTACAGAAGGGCTCTCAAGCTTTCAAACTTTTTTTGAAAAATTCCAATCCGTCAATTAGGAGAGCTCTGGCGCTTGTTTAAACATTGGTCGAATTTTTGTACTTATAAACAATTAGAACTTTGTGAATATTCAATCAAATCAAATTTTTTAAAGCAGGTTTTAAAAGTTCTTGGAAAGGCACTTCTTTTAAAAAAAACGATTGATCAATTAGTTACGTAATTATAGCCGATTTAATTTCGAGCAGGCCGAAGCGGCTGCGCTCTCTGCTTCCCCCGTCACCACCACCCGTACAATTTTATTGAATTTCTCGCTTGCATAAATAACTTTAAACACGTTTTAAAGTAGGTTGCCAATGAAGAAAAGTATTGTAATCTTAAACCTGTAAGTACTCGGAATACCAAAGGTATTTTTCGAAAAATTAGCCTGGATGTCCCAGTACATTTAGTGTAAATGACGGCTATAACTACGTAACTACTTAATCAATCGTTCTGTTTTTTTTTTAAAGAAGTGTTTTTCCAAGAACTTTTAAAACCTGTTTAAACAATTTGATTTGATTGAATATTCACAAAATTCTAATTGTTTATAAGTACAAAAATTCGACCAATGTTTAAACAAGCGCCAGAGCTCTCCTAATTGACGGATTCGGATTTTTCAAAAAAAGTTTGAAAGCTTGAGAGCCCTTCTATATGCGACTAAATTTTCAAGTATCTAAGGGCCTTGGTTTTTGCTGTGCAAAAATTTGAAAATTTGCAGTTTTTTTTTTCAAAATCTGGATTGCAAAATTGTTATGCAAAATCTATTGAACCGATTTTGATGAAATTTGGTGTGATAATTCTACATAACATGAAGTTTTTTTGAGCCAAGTATAAAGGTCCTACACCCAATTTAAATACCCCAAAAAAATTTCCTAAAAAGTATTGTTTTTTAACCCCATTTTTGCAATTTTTTCGATTTTTACCGTAATCATGATTCATTTGATTTGTAACTAGACATGTTTCGTAAAAAATTTAATTGCAAACATTTTTTTCCTCTTCCATTTTCGCCTAAAATCAACTCTTGAAAAGATACATAATTAAATAGGAAGAAAAATATGACATTTTTCGAATTTTTTTAACATTATTGTGCCGCCAAAAGTTAAGCCCACGTTTTTTTTATGCGCATAGAAAAATTTTCAGTTCTAGTGATATTTGAAAGCCAAAAAGCCAAAAATCTCCGTGGATATACGATTCACCCAAACCAAAACAGATACCGCCTAGTCTATAAAGAAAACATTAATATAATAGTAAGAAACATTAAGAAAAATTTTAGTAGTAACTTTTTTTTTCTTCTAGCCGGCTTCTGCGAGGGGGGTTGGCATTAAAGTGATAAACAAATGGTCACAGCTACCAAAGAAAACTTCATTAGTTGTACAAAAATATATTTCCAATCCCTACCTCATAAATGGCAGCAAGTTCGACTTGAGGCTGTATGTTTTAGTAACCAGTTTTAATCCATTGCGAATATATCTGTACCCCGACGGGTTAGCCAGATTTGCTAGTGGTAAGAATAAAATTAAACTGATGGTTTAGGTCTACAGGATGTTGCAATTTCATATGAACATGTTTTTTTTAGTCTTAAGCTATATCATGTTAAATTTTAATTTTGTTCAAGCATTCACATTAATTTTATGCATTTCCTGATAGATCGACAAAATTGAAATCATACAATTACAGTTTTACTTAAAGTTAACCAACAGACCACATAAATTTGTGACCATTCTTTAAATCATATTTTGATAGATGTATTTCAAACTGGTAAAGACAAAAGATTGTGAAGGTCAGAAAACGTAAGGATAAAACAGAGAAGTTGTATTTTCTTGTAACAAGAGTCAGCGTCGAAGTTTGTAGATTCTGTTGACCCTCAGAAAAGTTGACTGTACTGAATTTGAAGTGATGTGTTAGAAAAATGTAAAATGAATGAGAGTAACTAAAAAAAAAATAAAACATTATTGTCCGATATATCAAAAATAAAGTACCTACATTTAAAATTTTATTTTTGGTCGGAATCACTTGTAGAAGTTTATTCATGGAATTTTGCAACACACTGTAGAAAGTAACTTTATTATTGAAATAATGATTTTTTAATAAAAATATGTTATTTGAAGTGCCTGTTAAAATTATTTTAGAAAAGTATCATTCGGTATGGCACAAAAATGTAAATCATTACAAAAGTCATGTCCACTTCTATTTCAGCCAAATACAGTGATGACGCTAAAGATTTGAAGGACAGGTACATGCATCTGACGAATTATAGTATAAATAAGTTATCCAGTCAGTATACTGCCAATGAGGATGCCAATGCCTGCCAGGGCCACAAATGGTAAGTGTTTGAAATAGTAGCAAATTCGTATCGAAAATTGTTTTCAAAAACATATATATGGTGCTTCAAAATTATGTTATTGTTAACTACGTTATTATTGGATATGGAAAATCGATTAAATTACCAAATTATAGAGTGATTTCACTTCAAATTATGTAATCTCTGTAAACTTGCGTCTCACTGGGCGTCATTTTTGAGATAGAGTGTTGAAATTATAAGTGAATTTTTTTGTTACGTCTTGGAAATATGAAATATATCAACGGATTTGGATTAAATCTGGTACAATCTAAAATGATTCTTTTAATTAATAGATTAGTTCTATGTAAAAAAGTACACCAGTGTGTTTTTCTGGAGAAATGATAATAAATTTAGTTGCTGTTTCAAAAACATCTCTTATTATTTTTTGAGAATAAGCATCGTTTACAAGAAATTTCATAAAGCTGTAAGATATCTTCTGCAGTATGGTCAACAAATTCTTCGGTGGTTTTAAGAGAATTGCATTAAATCAACAGTTTACAACTAATAAATAATAAAAAGAGAATTCTTTTGTAGGATAATTATACAAGGAATAATTAAGACAAAGAAATGTAGAAAATTTACAGAGCTACTTTATTGAATTAGTATTTGAAATATAATAAACATTTGTGGTTACCAGATTCATACTTCATAAAAGTTTTGCATCAAAAATTAACTCGTTTTCTTTTGTCATTGCACCATTTACTTATATACCGGGTGTCCAAAAAGTCTGGAAACGTCTGAATAATTTCCTAGGTAAATTATTTTTGAAAAATGTCAGGGTCATTCTTGTAGTAACTTTGGCGAGGAATTCAATGGTGACCTTGGATTTGACCTTGACGATGACCTTGAAGGTTATTTCAAGGTCACCTCTATTTTTTTTATAAATGGAAAACCCCTTTTTTGTCGTTGGCAATCGAAAGAGCGGAAAACTTTACGTCCAAAAACTCTAAGGTCATAAATCAGGGTTGACCTTGAAGGTCATTCAAAGGTTATTTAAATTTGAGGGCTGGATATCTCTGAAAGACGCAGTTGATGAAAATAGTACAAAGCTCACTTTAGTTATTTGGTTTAATTGCAATTAGTGGTAACCTCAAACTCGACCTTCTTGGTGTCCTTCAAGGTCATATCATGGTAAATTTTTTTTTTTAATGAAAATCTCGTGACATCGGCAATCAAAAGAGCGGAAGTTTTCATACTTTTACTTTTAGCGTTACCCAGGAACAACGACGTAGTCGTAGTAATTTTTGTTCCCTTTGGGGTGCTTTATTACCATGAGTCCCCTTGCCTCTCACGTTTGGGGTGCTTCCTTATCGTGGGAGGCAATGAGACTCACGATAATCAAGCACCCCAACGCTGGAGCGTTGCTCTATGAAAATAACATCACGCCGTTGTATTATCTGACACTTTTCATGCACATAACCCCCTACACTATAGGTCCCATAGCGAACGTGCGTGATTTTATTAATAACTAAACTTTTAAAAAGTGGCAACTGGAGATAATTTTTTCTTATCATCTGAGAATTATGTTTATGGGATGTATCGGGTTTCTCAAATAAATGATTCATTTATTACAGGTAAGGTACGGTGATTGTACTCTGAAAGATGAAGGTCGACAGCTCGCGATGGCTGTCTATAGGTGCCTAAGACCAGCTGATCGATTGTGCCAGCTCAACATATTACACTTGTGGCATATTCTAATGACTATGACTGTTAGATGTATATCTATGAAACACATAATATTATAGCCCTGGAAAAATGTTCCATACAAACACTTATATTATAATACATATATAAAGTGTTCTATTTTAAAAACATCTTTAAGATTTTTGATTACTTTTTATTTAACTATATTAATCAATATAAAAAATTACGAGCTCTTTGGTAATTTAACCGATTTTATATCTTCATTAATAACAAAATTAGTGATAATGCTAATTTATTTTAAAACATCCTGTATATGTGTCTGTTTTATTAACAGGCAATTTATGGAAAATCTAATCTTATGATATTTTTGTAGGACGGTATCCAAATTAATGGAATATCTCGAGGACACTGGAGTCGATACCAAAGCCTTGTGGAAGAATTTAGAACAATTAGTTATTAAAACAATAATCGCTTGCGAAGACCCTATTACACAATTATGTGAAGAAAATATGAATAACCATTATAATTGTTACGAACTTTTCGGAGTCGATGTACTCTTAGATTCAAAATTGAAGCCTTGGTTGTTGGAGGTAAATAAAAACATTCACAGTTGTTGTGATTTTTAACAAATTACCAAAAACCAACCTTTGTAGGTTAACATATCGCCCAGCCTCCATAGCGCTTCTCCATTAGATGCTCACGTTAAAGGTCCCTTAGTAAAAAATTTGTTCGACATGGCGCAGTTCCATCTCCCACCAAAGCTAGGTCAAACAGTACAGCAGTCCCCGCAGTGTTTCGAACCAAAACTTTACACCATAAATTTGACTAAGAAGGAGAAGCACAAACACATTTCTTTCTCTCAGTTTGAACACCGCGATGACTATTTATACGACATATTAAGAGACTTGACGGGAGACGACGTTAGACATTTGGTAAGGGCCGAAGACGAGTACGTTGTGAGGGGGAAATTTGAAAGGATATTTCCTAGTGCACACACTTACAAGTACCTGAACTTTATGGAGACGAGGTATTACAACAGGCTGTTCGACGCTTGGGAGACGAAGTACGCTGGTAGAAGAGAAGATGGTAAGTATCTTTAAGAAATTTTTTTTGTTATGGCCTAGTACATGTTACAACATATGCGAAAATATGTTTGCAAAATCATGAATAGTATTTTATGAAGGAGTAAAATGAAACACTGGTATTACTTGTGACAGCTTCTGTATTTCTGAACAAATTAATATGAATGACACACTATCCCGGCAAAGAATAAAGTAAGCATTTCTCAATATAGGCCGGTTTATCAGAACATTTCTGCTAGAGTTTTTATAACTGAAATAAACTGGAAGACATATGATATACAGGGCAATCAGCACTTCAATCCAACACCATCTAATAACACAACAATTGCAGCTGTGTAAAACTGTCGTCACGGTTTGTATAAAATGTTGTTTGTTGTTCATATGAGAACGGTGTATTTATAGAAAAATTTTTTGGAATGTATACCAAATTGTATTCATTGCAGTAATACAGGGTGTCCCAGAATAACGTGTACAACGGAAGACCACAGATTCGTGGACTCAAAATAGGCAGATTTAAGCTAATTCACCTATATCCGAAATCGCTTCGTTTGGCCGCTAGATGGCCTCAAAGTTTGTGAAAATCTTTTGAATTTTGTAAATAACTTGAATGCGTATTATTCGATTTCGATTATTTTTGGGTTGTGGATTTTTGTCTTCAATCTACACATTTTGGTGTTATACAGTGTTTTTCAAAACTTACTACTCCTACAAAATTGATGTATGGTGATAATATCCGTTCATAACTTTTTCCTATTTCCTAACTATTTTTTATTTGATAGGTGATACTATTTGGAAGTTTTTGGGCCTCTTATAGAATTTTGATTAAATGAGTGGTTTGGATAAAAAAAATATTTTTCAAATGTCTACATTATCTTGCCACCCATATTACAATACTTAACAGTGCTAGTAGGCAGTGATTTTGTAGGTTGACTGTAATTTCAGTTTGATCTTTAAGTCTTGTACCTGCCAATTCTTAATAAGTGTTTACTACGATAAAATATAACACATGTTACTTCGATATGGATACACACACACACATAAGAGGAATTTTTTACAACATGCCTAATTTTATTGAGATAATTAGTAAAAAAAATCAAATACAATAAAAAATTCTGGAGAATGCTGGAACGAAGTTGATGTTATTCGATTTAGTACAACTTATTATAAAAACTGTTCAAAATGACCACCGTTGTTTCTACAACAAAGGCTAATTTGGATGTCTCCCACAACTCTTCTTCAGTGTTAGATGTGGAAGCATATACTGTTGTTTTCAAAGTACCCCAAAGATAATAGTCGCAAGGTGTTACGTCTGGTGAACGAACAGGCCAGTTAACAGGAACATTATCCCCTTTACCGATACATCGACGAGGGAATCTTTCAGGTTTCAGGTTCAGATACTGCCGGACATTGACAGTGAAATGTGGTGGAGCTTCATCATGCATAAACCTCTTGTTAGCTCTGAGCAATAATGGCACACCTTCCAATAACTCGGATAAAGTGTTTTGCAAAAATTCTAAACAAAAGTTGCCATTCAGTCTATTGGGTAGAATAACAGGGTCAATAATAATGCCATCAATGCTTTGTATTTGATTGTTTTTTCTAATTTGTTGAATAAAATTAGGCATGTGGTAATTGTAATTCGTTGTATGTGTGTGTATCCATATTGAAAAATGAAGTAACAGGTGGTATATCTCATCGTTGTAAACACTCACTAAGAATTGTCAGGTACAATGAGTTAAAGATCAAAGTGAAATTACAGTCAACCTACAAAATCAGTGCCTACTAACACTTTGTTAACTATTATAATATGGGTGGCACAATAATGTAGATATTTAAAAAATATTTTTTGTACCCAAACCGTTCATTTAATCAAAATTCTACCAAAAGGCCAAAGGCCAAAAGGCCCAAAAACTTCCAAATCGTATCACCTATCAGGTGAAAAATAGTTGTCATTATTGCCCGAAAGAGGAAAAAGTTATGAACGGATATTATCACCATACATCAGTTTTGTAGGAGTTGCAGGTTTTAAAAAACACTCTGTATAACACCAAAATGTGTAGATTGAAAGCAAAAGTCCACACCCCAAAAATAATCAAAATTGATTATAATACGTGTTCGAGTCATTTACAAAATTCAAAAAGTTTTCACGAACTTTGAGGCCATCTAGCAGCCAATCGAAGCGATTTCGGATATAGGTGAATTAGCCTAAATCTGCCTATTTTGAGTTCACGAAGCTGTGGTCTTCCGTTGTACACGTTATTCTGGGACACCCTGTATATAATCCTTATTCGTCCTGAAGTCATTAAAATATTCCTGGGAATCGGAAAGTCTCAGTTTTCTAACACCAGATTTATGAAATCCTCTTTAGTCTACAGTACAGGCCCCCCTGGAAAGTTGATTACCCCATACTTTATAACTCGTGAGGAGCTTCGTTTTGACGAGACTACCACACTTTTCCTCTGCGACTTTTCTCGGTTCCTCCGCTCTTCCACTCGGAAAAGTCCAAAAACATAGCAATTTCCCGCGGTCTTGAAAAGTTAAGACCACATCTTTTTTTTAGCTTAAGTTACTGGAAATTTTGTTACAACTGCCGATTTAAATTTGTCCGGCAGAAATTCTTCCGACATTGGCGTGTCTACCGGCCGACACATGCCAAACTGACAGGGTATTGAAAATCAATTACCACAGGTAATTTTTTGTAAAATTAATTGTAAATAATTAATTCAGTCAAAAAGTATTGTCCGACAAATTTCAAGCCGCGTTTTTTCAGTTCGACATATCTAATTTTCATTTTTTCTGCATTTAAATTTACTGTACAAAATAGTGATATAAGTGTACGACGATTTAATGTCCGCAAATTATAAAAAAATCAATAAATCAATAATCGTGATGAAATTTAATTTTTTCACTCCAAAAATCCATAGGAAAAAAAGGGATTATGACTATAAACTGTTTCAGGCAGTTTAAAGTAATTAACTTACATACTATCTTAGTGCATAATGCACTATTTCTAAATAAATTAATATTATATTTGATATAAAAATCCTTTTTTCTCTTTCAAGTCTTCATTCGCGTTTGTTATTTTTCTTTACAAAAATTTTCCTATCCCAAAACTTTTGTGCATAATTTTTTTACATGTTTTTTTGAAATCGTTTAATTCTTTTCTCGATATTTATTTGGCTAAATTGAGCATAAGAGATTTACAATTACAAGAATAAAAGAAAAATATATACAGGGTGTGCCATTTACCACTGCCAATATATCCGAAATAAAGAAATTTATTTTAGTTTCAGAAATTGGGGTCGTTAGATTCCTCGAATAGCTTCAAATTGTAGTTAGAATTGTTAGTTCAAATCTTTCTGTATAGATGGCGTGGCTATACTAAAAAATTTTGATCCCTGTAACGTGGAAATGCAGTCCATCTGAAAGATCATTAAATTTTGAGTAATTTTTGTAATATAAAGTTTTTCCCTCTATTTACTTGTTTTCGAGATATGTCGACTTCAATGTGCAATCTATGATAAGAGGAAAATATATTATTTTATCTAAATCAAATCGAGACAAAATATTCTTTTAAAATATTGTTATTAAATTAAATATTTTACATACCTAACATTATATAATTTTTTGTAGGAATTACGCTTCTGCAAACATTGTGTGCACAAAAAGTTCACCTCAAAGTAGCCCCTCCAAGCACCCTACACAAGGTGAGTACCACTCAGTTTTTTTTTTTTCTTTTCAAATTAATATTTAAATTGCTCAGTATTGACTTTAACATTTTGGCATTTTCCCTCACCAATGTTTTATCATTCTCTCACATACTTTCAACGTTTTCTTGTAATGGTAACAATCATTGTCACAAGGCGAGAAATTTCATGCTGGCTACCATACAGAGTGTTTGTTCGCAATGTCGCAGTAAGTTGGAACTGTGGGTCGTATATGTGTTATAACTAATTTTTTTGTACTAAACCTCGATGGTCAATAGTTTTATTAATACCCACATTGATGGTTCTAGGGCTTTATTAGAGTGATAGTGATTACGTTTAGGTAAATAACCAATAGAAATAAATTAATTAATGTTACTAATGGCATAGGACTGTTTAGAATAGAATGTGTTTTAGAGTAAACGCTTTATTTTCAACATAGGCATTTTCATTTTTTTTTCACCAGTTTTTTTAATAGCATGCATGGGGTGTGGAAACAGCTGTTCTCCAGTAACATACAGGATGTTTCAGAAATAAGTACATACCTACTGCAAAGAATGGTAGAATATGTAAAAACAAAAAATTTTGGTTATTCAGTCAGTTCAATTTAGAGTTCATTTTTTGTTATTTTTTTTTTTAATATATCTGATAACCATATACTGTTTAATAAAATTATTAATTCCTGTCAGGCTTTTCACTATACTTATTTCTGGAACATGTATAGTATATTTTTTAAGGAAAACATTTTACTAAACATTAAGATTGTTAGGCATTATTTACATTATTTTGGGATTAAAAAAGTTTTGGAAAAATATTATTAGGACATACCTAATAATATTAATTTCCCACTCAAATCTACCAACGAGCAGTAATATTAAAAAAAAAAAACAGCAAATATTAAGACAGTGTCTACTTTTAAGAGAGTGCAAATCATTTTCTGAGACATAACATGCAGATTTATAAGATTTTTAATGCACTTCAAAAAGTGGCTTTTTAAAGATATGATATTCTTTATATTGATGAAAATATATAAAGCAATCCTTTTAATAAAAAAATTTATATTCAAATACATAAAAATATCTATATTACTTAACAATTAGCCTTTTTACCTATTTTATTAGCATATGATTTGAGCATTAGTTAAAATTAAATAAACGTTTCACTGAAACTCAGCACAGACAGTTGAACATATTTTTTTTTGTCTAATTGTTATTGGAACGAATCTACTAATTGTTTATTAATTTATACAAAATAGGATTCTTTGTTATTTATAAATTATCACATTTTTTAAAATTAAAACACTTGAAAGATAGATTTGGCTTCTCGTTTTTGTTTCTCTAAATTAGGTAATTCATAATTTAGGAAATGTGGATTTTGAATTAATATTAACGCATTTTATTTTATTTTTACGGAAGTACTCGCTACTAAAACAGAATTAATGCACTAGATTTTTTTCACTATTTAATTTCACTTTCAATTAATTAATTAATTATAGACATCTTTTTGGGAGTATTAAATGTTATTTATTTCTCAGTAGAGAGGAATTATATTGATATTTCATGGTATCATTAACTGTCACAAATTTGCTTGATGGATATGACATGCTTTGTTTCTTGGTTGGATACTGTAACTGTAGGAAGGTCACTTTTGAGTTTTACTCTTTACTTTTAAACTAAACCATACTAATTTTTCTAGGATTTATCATGGTACAAAAAAAAATTAAACAAATGCACTTCACATTGTACACACAATGCTGTTACTTCAGTGCCCAAATATATTTTTTAAATTATTGCACAAATTGCAAACAGAAATATGCCATCCTCTTTCATTTTCATTTTAGATTCACAATCACTTAAAATACATTGGAGTTTGGTTATAATGACGCTCATGGGTCAGTAAAATCGCGTCATGCGAATCAGGCTATGTAATAAAGAAAATAAAAATAAATTATATACATATTTTACCCCTTTTACTTTTTTACTTAGAATCAAAGATTTAGGAAATATTATTGCTACAAGGTAATATAACATAGAAATATGAAAATATTGTGAAAAGTTTATACAAGGTGTTTTTTTAATGGTATGCCCTCCATAATTTTTGTCGAGCGTGTGTTTGATGTCAAATTTTGACGATGTTGATCTGAGATGAGAGGAATTACATTGTCGCCAGATTTACACTTCAGAATAACAGGAAACTTTTTTTTTAATGTAGTACTCTGTTAGGGTCTGATTGGTCTATTACTAATAGTACAAGAAAGAAGAAAGCTTTATCATGTGCTTACTTATACAAAATGGTTTGTATCAGGAAGTACATGCAAAACTTGCCGCCATCCACACGCACTTGCTTCTATTATATCTAAAATAATAGTAATCTAGTAATAAGTCAATTACTCTCATCAGATGAATTATTTCAAAACACCCTGTAGTGTTATCCATAAGACAGTATAATAATACACTCATTTATATTCATGGAAAAGTAATATAAGAATAATTTTAGTTATTAAGAGTATAATATAATGAAAATACTCTCTAATGAAATAGTGGAAAAAGTAGCTATTATTCCATACCTACTCTTAGAAATTGTGTCAGGTATGAAAATTCTTACATGAGAATACAACTATTCAATATGAATTTACTTATCAAGCAATTAATTGGGAATTGGTCATATTAAGACCATTTTGTTTCTCATATCTACAATAAATTTGTAGTTTTTATTTATTTGGGTATAATATATACCTTTAATATTTCTTCAGAATTCGCAGAGTATGATCCCTTCGGATATGAATGTGCTACAGTCCAAGGAGGGTCTGAATCACCATCTAGAAGAAATCATGCAAAAAGCGTCCATCATAAATGACATATCGACTACCAATTAGCCGAGATACCAATGTTGTGATGAGCGAAAAAGGTAGGATTATTATTTCTTTTTATTTGGTAATATAGTTTCCGAATTATTGCACTCATGAAACGTCTTATAAAAATTTGAAACCAGTAAATTATATAATTTCAATAAAAACGAAAATTTTTTAATTAAAATATTCATTTTTATTTTGCTACAACAGATAATACAGCAAAAGATGCAGATACTAATGGTCGTTACAATAACTTTTATGTTTTCAGGTACACAAATATCAATGGATCTCTATAAATTAAAAAGAACACCAGCAAATTGACTGCCATCAACTGAAATATACCTTTATTTTAATTTCAAACAAAAAAAATTCTTCTTTAAGTTTCATTTAAATTAAAATGTATGTAACTTTAATTTTATTAAATTTCAGTATAGAGATTTTGCATTTATTGTATAAATACTCTTTTTTATTTTGTTATTTATTAATGTTGTATTTTTAATCAATTGAAATAAAATATTTCAGTAAAAAAATAGTTTAATGTCAACTTATGTAAAAAAATAGAAAGCGTTACATTTTAGATAGAATCATAATACAATGCTTTACGTAGATACAAATTAAAAATACAGGAAAATTGCTGGTGCAACACTAGTTAAAAAATCTTGCAGTACTTATCGCCACTAATCGCTATCAGTCACATTTTGTTCATCCACAGTAATCCAAGAGCCTAAAATACATTTGCAGCTGAGACAACTGCTAAAACAAGCCTGTGTACTCTATTTGAATTTTCAAATAAAATTAGCTAGATTTTTTCCATACACACATAATGGCCTAAGGAGGATAAATAATAAAATAAATCTGAAAACTTCCGTGTGGACTAACTTGTTTATAACTTTGTACATTTGTAGAGGGTGTCTCAAAAATATTCTTCAGCAGGCGGTGGTGTATAGAACAAGAAGAAATAAAATGAAAAACATGCAAAAATCTCGAAAATTGCCTCATAATCTTGCCACGATCTTATTAAGGATGACAAAATTGCAATTTTTAAGTGACCCCCAAATTATCAACCTGCCCATAGTAATTTTAAGTGAAACAAAGTAATAATAATTGACAAACTCAATGCTTGGCCTCCTAAACAGTTACTGAAAAATTCCACATCATTACTAACGGGGGAATGTTTTTTGAAATACCCTATATACCTATGTAATATACAGGGTGTTTTATAATATATGCGCAGGACTTCAGGATTTGATAGCTCGTCCAAAAATTTGAAAAAAAGTTTGTTTTGACTTTTTATTTAATCGTTAGAACAAGTAACAAAACCAAACATTAACTTCATAGTTGCAAAATTAAAAAAAAACAAATCGTACACAGTTAAATTAAATGTTGGAAATGTCCTCCGTTAGCTTCAATGCACGCAGCAATTCTTCGACGCATCGACTGTCTTAACACGCAAGAAAATTTCCGGAGTGTTCCAAATTATGTCGCAAGATGCAACAATGCGTTCTCTTAATTGATCAACATTTTCAACTGGAGTAGCATAGACTAGCGTTTTGAGATGGTCCCAAAAGAAAAAATCTAAACAATTAAGTTCGGGAGATCGCGGGGGCCAAGAGTGGGGACCTCCTCGACCGATCCAATGGCCTTGGTATTCGTCGTCCAAGTATTGGCGAGCAACCAAACTAAAGTAAGCCGGAGCTCCATCATGCATAAAGTACATGTTTTGTCTTACTTGAAGCGGTACATCTTCCAGCAGTTCCGGCAGTACTTCTTCTAGAAATTGTCGATAATCTGCTCCGTTTAATCTGTTCAGTAAAAAATGTGGGCCTATCAAATGATCACCGACGATGCCAGCCCAAACATTCACGGAAAATTGTTGCTGATGATTGCCTTCTGCAATTTCATGTGGATTTTCTTCAGCCCATATGTGGTTATTGTGAAAATTGAAAATACCATCTCTCGAGAAAGATGCTTCATCGGTAAACATAACTTCGGCTCCAAACTGAGGATTTTGAGCTATTTTGTCTTGCATCCATCTACAAAAAGCCAATCTTGGCGGAAAATCTCTTGGCAATAAGGCTTGTACTCTTTGGATATGGTAGGGATACAAAAGTTGTCTTTTCAAAATTCTCCAAACCGTCGAGTGAGGTATGTTTAAGTTGTGAGCAATTTTTCTGGTACTTGTGATCGGATTTTCTTCAATTTCGTTGAGGACAGCCTCTTCTACTTGGGCATTTGCAGCTTCCATAGGCCGCCCATTATCAGCAGTATTCTTTTTAAAACTTCCATTTTCCCATAGTCGTTGGTGAATGCGTTGAAACAAGTTATGATGTGGTACTTGGCGATCACGATGTCTTTCTTGATACAACCGCCTTGCTTCTGCCGAATTACCGCTCGCCATTCCGTAAAGGTAATGCATTTCGCACATTTCAGCGTTTGTGTAATTCATTTTTACTTTTGTAATACAAATTGACTTTTCGCAGATACAAACTAATTGTTATTTTGACAGGAGGTAGCTTTTGTTTTAAAATTTAATGCCTACTTGATAAAAAAAATTATAATACATTTAGTAAAATAAAAATTTTATTTCAAAAAATTGACCATGTTTTTCAACATAAAAGTAGATTTTTCTCAAAAACGGTCAACTTTAGAGCTTATGACCAAGAGTACTTTTTTTGTGTAGAAAACATTGGCGGTTCAAATGGACATCTCAAAATCGTACTTTTTCCAGTGGCGTAGAAGTTGGGGAGAAAAACACCCACTTCCCCTTCAAAATCTTCACCAATTATGACTTTGAAAAAAATTTTTTCTCGCACAGAACATAGCTTATTATGAGTAGTAAATGCTTACAAAAGCTGTTTTCTGTACGATAAACGGTTCCTGAGATATTCGCAAAAAACTAAATTTCTTTTACAATTTCAACACCCTGTATCTCGAAAATTGTGCATTTTAGAGGGTACGTTAATACAAACTTTTTTTCAAATTTTTGGACGAGCTATCACATCCTAAAGTCCTGCGCATATATTATGAAGCACCCTGTATAGTGTTGCAAATTCCACTAATAACTTTATATGCATATTCTGACCAAAAATAAGAAAAAAAACATGAATGTAGGTCTGCAAACTCTTCATTTTCAAAATGTGATAAAGTTTTATTATCGTTTAATTGTTTTCATTTATTTCATTGTGATAATGCTTTCAGTCACAATTTGATGATACCACTCATATACATAGTTCAAAGATTTAAAAATGACAACAAAAAATGCAAGGCTAAGCAAAAGAATCAGTGTTGTCACAACAAAAAAATTCGGAAGGAACTAGAGTATACTCAATTTAAAAAAGTGTTGCCCCAGATAATTGCAACCCTAATTCATACATTTCATTGATCCTCAAAAAAGTGTTAAATCATCTAAAATGCTAAGCATTTGCAAATTAACATCCATATAAAATTTTTTCATATTTTTGATCAGAGAATCAACTGTAGAATTTTTTCGGTGGAACATTGTAACACCCTGTATACCGATTTTCTTATGTGGCTGCTTTTGCCACCTTACCCATCCATACACCATAATTTCTTATATATTAGGGTTAATTTTCACAGAATTGCCTTATAGGCAGTAGTATTAGTATATTAGTTACTTTATCACAACAGATGTAAGCAATTCCTGTAGTACATATTCAAATATAATTTTACTTGAAGTTATAGTCTTTCCGAAGTCAGTTGAACATGTAAAAAAATGCTTGGCAATAAAATTTAACGAGTTTCATAGGCGTCCCTAAAAATGTTTTCTGATAAAGGTAAAAAATTATAATAATTTGTATATAATGTGTAGAAAATTTCTATTATATGTTCATTTGGTCAACAACATATTTTATTTATTTATGTCCTCAAACAATTTTATTATATTGATGGTAAATTTCATTTTGTTCCGTTTCAAAAGGTCTCCAAAATGTCATGTGGCATTAGTAAACAAAATATCCCTCTTATTTCTCCATTTCGAAATTGTAATATGAATGATTGATTGATAGAAGGTGTCTATAATAAATTAAAATTACCTGAATTACAATGGGCAATTTGTCAACAACTGAGATTTATTACCCAGTCGCCCAGTGCAGCTGTGTTATATGCCGTTTGCGCGCACTGGGCGTATACATTTCTATCACCTCCACGTTTAGTTCGACCAGACCTGTATATGGGTATGGCTAAATAAATATGGGAAGAAGTTTTTCAAATACATTTCTATGCCGAGTTGCTGCGTCAGCGACCAAACCTGGTATATACTGTCAAACTCTTGGTTCTTCAATTGATATCGGAAAGACTATACTATTCACTTTCTGATATTGACATTAAATGTTCCGAAGTGACACCGACAGGCATCTGGGTACTCGATAAAAATATGGCACTCGAGTCATAATTTTAAATATCTGATACCTATTAATTACTAATACTTTCAATTTAATATAAATAATTATACAGGGTGTAACTTTAAGGGGGTCAGTTTTTTAGGAGTATTCCCCTGAATACGAATCTAAAATTCTTTTTTTCAATGAAATAGTGGAGTTAGTTATAGTCGAGTTCTTTAAACTACACTTTCTTCTGGCTAACCTGGAGTTATCCGGGTAAGTTTTATCTGTGTACTATCAGCAATGCCAATTGTTTCCTTTTTGAAACAACTTTTAGAAAATGACAATGAAAAATAACTTAGTAAAGAGATTGTTTTTGGATGGCTTAGGAACGTGTTATTTTAAAGTCACCATGTTTTTTTTATATCAATGTGAATGCAGTGCTGAACATGAAAAAACCATTCTATTTTTAAAAAATCATTTTTTACATGATTTATTAAATATTAAACTATATGATACGTAGGTATGTTACCAAATGTAAATAAAAGTAATGTGTTACTATTTTTTTAAATAATGTATATATAGTGAATTAGGTATCAATGATCTCTGACATTGACATAATTTAGTTGAACTATTAACAGTAGATAGGGATGCTTTTAGGAAAATCCAATTCTAAACAAAATACTGTATGTTTCTACTCTTATCTTATTCAGCCTTTCAGCAGTGAATCAGTGCTAGATATTATAAATTCATCCAAAGCAAACAAAACAGCAACAAAATTATATCATGAACAGTTTAAATTTAAGCAGAATCCAATCCTGTTCCAGAGGCTTACAAAGGACAATGGAGGTTACCTACGCTGTTCTTTTAAATTCCGTATTACTCCCTCTAAAAAGCCGCTACTGCCAGTTGATTTCACATCTGGTATGATACGATGGGATGGTAAACTGATAAAAAAACAAACTGCCACTTTAGTTCGGCGAAATGAGAATGGCCGAATACGTCATCATTGCTTCATTCTGTTACAGTTTTGTTTTAGTTTGTGAACTGTTTGTATAGTGTAAGTTTATAACCCTATAAAGTTAATTATTGAAGTGTTTAGTGAATTTTCATTTTTGTTTGATATGAAAATGTTGATACGGTTAGAAGAGTTGTGGGGAGAAAATGATGCTGTTGCAAGTAGACGATGTCAGATGGATTATCCTGACCTATAAATACCGAATAAGAAAATGTTTGTAAAATTGGTTCAACATTTAAGAGATTATGAGAACTTTGAACGCCAATACAGGGTAGGAAAGTACCGATGGTCTATCTGAAGTTACGTGAGAGCGATAAAGTAAGCCATAGAAATCCATGTGATAGAGAAGGATGGCTATAATGAAGGCTTCTCTTTGTCACCGCCCGTTTCGCCATTTCACAAATAAGATCCACTTCTTATTTGTGGAAGGGCGAAATGGGCGTTGACTATTAGGCACCTTCATTTTAGCCATCCTTGTCTATCACATGGATTTCTATGGCTTACTTTATCGCTCTCACGTAACTTCTGATAGACCATCGGTACTTTCCTACACTGTATGTTAATGATAGATACAACCGAACTAAGAGAGAAATTTAGAATCAGAAATTTTTATGTTATGGAGTGGAAGAAGATCCTGGTACCAATACTCGAACATTAGCCACAAGATTTCAAGTATGTCTCATGCTCTAAATATCAGGCGAGTAAACAAATTATTTATTTATTTTTGTGTATTTCATTTATCATTATTAATTTATTACTGTTTGAGTTTTCTGTTGCTTTACTTGTTGGGTACTGATTCATAGTTTATCTTATTCAAAAGAATTAAGTCTTTGTTTATGCCGCATGATAGGACTCATGGCAACACTCATTCAATAAAAGTAATGCACCAAATAGCAGTACTTCATGACGGGTGGTGTAAAAAATTTGCTTTTTAACAAAGTTTGGTTTTTAATAACCTTTCCTTTTAATTATGAGATTTGACAAGAATGCATACGGTAGTTCCCATGTGTGCATGCGGTGCAACTAACGCCCTCCATTGTTTCAGGTCACACTAGCTTGTCCAGTGGCGGAGTATGAAAAATTACTAAGAAATGTAAAAAAAAAATCAGTTTTCACAACGAAATTTGAGAAAACAAACTTATGATACGTGATTCTACAGGTCATAGGTAGTCTCCGTATAAGTATAATCCCGATTCAAAGTTATGCCCTGTATATTTGTATTAACAATACATATCAATAATAATTATTATTTATCCTAAATTAATATTTTAAAAAGTGTGTAACGGATAATTAGCAAGTAAACAGTAAATATTAATTATTGGAAGTGGGTACCCGGGTATAGAAATTAATAGGTATCCCCAAATACAGTGTCTAACTAAAATGATTGATTGTTCACGATTTTTTAATTAAAAAAACTTGGGGCAGTTTTGGAAGACACAGGTAGTAATTTCAATTTCCCATTTTTTTAAAGGCTATTTTAAAATTGATTATATTATTAAAAAACTTAACAAAATGTTAGTTAGCACTATGTACTTTGACCAAGTATTTCAGTTCCAGCCTGTAAATTATGTAAGATTAAAAATATCGAGTAATAAAGAGAAATAATTCATTCAATAAAAATATCGTCTTTTCAAAACCCAATTTTCATTCATTAATTTCACTGGTTTACATTTAATCTCAAGGTATATACATATATAAATTTCAGACTTTCTGCTCATACTTTTCAGTGCTTTAGTAATACGATGAAATATCACAATGTGAACAAAAACAGGTTAGGAACACCCCAAACGTTGAAAAAAGAAAACAAAAACATTTTATCGAAAGAAATTGAATGCTAAAAAGAATCATTTCCCATATATGAATTACGTAATATACACCCACATTCACCTTTTGAAAATAATTTACGATTAAATGCATTTCTTTGTATTTATATATGTATGTTCGTGCATGCAGTAGAATGAAAGGTTATACTAGAAGCAGAGGCAAATTTTGACACTATATCTGTTAGTGTAAATTGCTTTCTTATTTCATTAAAAATAAAATAAAAATTGTTTGCTCTTAATTGTACTCCAACCACCAAAAACTAATTACCATCTGACCCATCGTCCGGATTATCATCTGCGTTATTCTCATTTTGAGGTCTAGGCTGTGAACGAGGCCGAGGTATTCTTCTTGTCTGTACATTTATGTCTAACTGCATTCTAATATCTAGGACCATAAATCCCACTGTGATCAACAGAGGAAGACGATATCTACAATCCCAAGCCAGTTTTAACAGAAATACGAGTGGACTCATTGTTAGCCTAGAATTAAGGTTTAAATATTAATAATAATCATTTCGGAAACTCCACTCTTTTTTAAAAATGTTCAAAAAGAAAAAATATATCCAGAATATTCATTTTCTGCAGCATTAAAAATACAGTGACAAAAATTAAAAAGCATTTTTTTCATTCAAACATTTTTTCTTATATCCTTTATATAAGAAAACCTCTACTTGCCCTTATCAAAGGGGTCAAAGATATCAAAAACAGATTTCTTTATATATCTTCTGAACTAATGAAAATATTGAAGCAGAATTTTGTGTACTATGAATATAATGTTCTGCAAAATCATTTAAATAATTCTAAATTTATCCGAACATATTTATTTTTTTACAAATTGCTAATTTAAAACAAAACAGTAAAAGCTAATCAAAATAGTCAAGACTATTTTCTCTCAAAATAAACCGTTTCAAAAAAATGAATTCTTCAGAAAAATCTATCCAAGCATACCTCATATCTACACCACTGGTTTGAAATGAGACAATTTCTCCTACAATACCTCCTTTTATTTGGAAGATATAATTTTTATTTTACATTTATTTTTCATATACGAATTCATTGAAAAAAATGTCATACAAGGTTGTTCGATCTCTATTAATTATATTTTAGAAACAAATATAATATCAACAAATAATGACTATATTACTATAAAAATGTTTACATTTTGGATAGGGACATACTTGTTAAAATATTTTCTAGACGTGCAATTTTATAGAATTTTACGGTACCGACACAATTTTTAAATCTATTGTAAATTATTTCAAATAAGTGTTGTACAAACGAAGGGTGACATATCTTTGTTAAAAAAATGAAACTCTACCGATAAAATACAAAAATTATTATTTTCTCAAACTTTCTGTACATTTTACATTTGGTTTTTGTCGTAAAGCCGATCATTTATTATTTTAATCAATAATCGCATTTGACATAAATTTTAAGGTGCCTAACTTAAGATCTATTCTTTTGTAGTTCTGGATAATATGGAAAAATGTACCAAATTAATAAACTCAAATTGAAACAAGTATTTTTGTAAAATAAATGAGATTTTGAAAAAAATAATTTGTGTATTTTGTCAGTGGCATATCAATTTTTTTTAATAAAGGCACCCATCACTTTCCAATTTCCATTTGTACAACAGTGATAAAACTGAATTTAATTTAAAAGATTTAAAAAACACTTCTTTAAAGAGGAATTTTATAAAATTTCAATGATGGTATATTGTGCTTTTGAAAAATATTTAAAGAAAAAAAATGAAAAATACATATTTTGAAAGCTTAACGTTTTTCATTTGTAGTGTACATAACAATCACTATTGTTTAATAATCTACCTGTTACTAAAGTTAATTAAAAAAAATTGAACCACCTTTTATAATGACAATCAGATAAGGACACAAATTTAACGTATTTATAAGAAAAATTGTGTTGCTAATTAAAACAAAGTGAAGTGCTTATTGCCTTTATAAATTGGGAGACATATTTTACAAAGAAGTCATAATTAGGTATTTTTCACCTGACCGCTTAATTCAAATTAATCTCTAAATACAAATATTAAAAAATATCTTTGATATAAGAAACTGGTTCTCAGAATTCATGTGTATAAAAAAAAAACTGTGTACTCTAATAAAACAATATTCGACGCTGTTCACTTAAATGTCCTATTAACCTCAATTATATTTGTATAAGAATGATTTGTGAAGGTTGATTTAACTTTTTAAATAGATCATTGAGTCAACACTATTTCGCTGTGTTAAAAACATTTGTTCTACAGTTTAGAATTCAGCTGCTAACTTTCCTTTAATAGTACTAATGAAAAGTATGAAACTTAATTTGTAAAAAGTTTATAACAATTCCATAAATGAAATCATTTTCTTCTATTATTCTTCCTTATCAGCATATATATGTCTTATGAGTCCTATATCTGACAATGAAATTATATGTAAAACTGAATATTTATAAATACTACACTATTTTAATTAAAGGCTTCTTCAGGAAGTATGGATTTCCTTTTACTATCAGCAAAACATGTTTATCAATGTTTATTTAAAGAACTTTTAAAACTAGGTGCACCATTTTGTTCCATTCATTCTCTCTTAGGTATTGTGAAATATTTCATAGTCAAAGCACAATTATTAATATGAACTGTTATAGTTTTTTTTATTGTAAACAGAATGAAGTTTACCTTTATATATTTGAACAGTTTATACCTGCCTCATAATTACCATTGCTTATATAAGATTACTGTTGAAACCCTATTTTAACATTAACACGTACTTAAGGGAATTATAGAAATTCAAAGAATTCTATTAAGAAAATGTTCATGTATTATTAATTTCGACATTCTAATAACCTTGCTTCAGTGTATACCTGTTCTATTTCAAGCCACCCTGACCTTGATTTGTTTTTACAAATAAATACTTATGAATTACTGCAGTACTGCATCAATACAAAAATTTGGTTAATATCATGCATAATTGAAAAAATAACTGGAATAATATGAATTCGATTACGTTATAATTTAAAGGTAGATAAATTAATATTTACCCAAATTATGAAAGGATAATAAAAAAAAACAAATCAAGATGAACCTTTTATTTGGTTACACATATATATACCATATATTTTGTAATACATTGTAAATTCATATTAAAAAGTAAATATATATATTTTCTTAGAAAATAGAATGCAGTTTAATTATATAATAAACAAAACTTAGATCCAACAAAATATAACCGTTTTTATAAAAACTTAATTCCTATCATAATAATCAATAGTATCCCCCGTCTTAAAGTCACCCTTTTCCAAAATGTCCAGCAGTTTACTAACGGTTTGTTCTGTAGTTAATACAGTACTTTCCTTCACCTCTCGGAAGCTTTTTTTTAAAACCTCCGACTGAGCATCTGTAATAATAGTCTCAAACATATCCGTTTCTACAGGACCAGGTGAATAATTTAAAACAATAATTTTGGGTTCCTCGAGAGCCAGAACTTTGAAGAATAGTTCTCTAGCAGCTTTACCAGATCCATACATAGATAAATTTAAAGTTGGTGAACGACCACAAAGCGAGGTTATATTGACCACAACTAACTGAGGTGCTATAGGTCTGATTTGTTTAACAAAAACACTGTTTAATAAAACAGCAGAAAATAAATTTAAATCATAGTACTCGTGCCATGTTGTCAGATCTGTTAAATCGGCTGTTTGTTTTAAAGTACCTACGTGCCCAGCATTATGAAATATTAACCCAAATTCTATCCCAGATGTATCAACAGATGATAAAATATTTTGAAAAAGTTTGTTATAATCATTTATATCTGGTTTTGATAAATCTAATACATATGTTTGAACCGTTATAGATTTATCTACCATAAGAATTTGTGTTTTTGTTTCATCAAGTCCTTTCTCGGATCTAGCTATTAAAATAAAAACTGAATTTTGATCTAAATGTCTAGACAGTTCTACAGCAATTGTTCTACCAATGCCTTTTGAAGCCCCAGTTATGAAAATGATAGATTTTTTACTAAAATTTACAGAACAAGCCATACTGATATGAAAATATCCGAACAATTTACAAATATATTGTTAATAAGGTATTACCTATTTTACTTATGGGTTACAATTTGTACTACAATCCTTGTTTACTTCAGAATCACTATCATCGTCTTTCAATTGATCGTACTTAACTAATTCAACAATTTCTCCTTGATTTAAGGCTTGCTTCTGAGGGGCAATTGTTCTTAAAATTTGTGAATTTGAAATGGGTACATCTAGTTCAATGATTTCTTCTTCAATGTGTACTGCACCAGTAAGAAGTTGTTGCATACAGTCCGCCTTTTTAGCAGCTAATTGAGCGAGAACTCTAGGATCGTTTTTTATTTTTCTTAGTTTTTCCTCTAAAAGTAAATAAATATTAGGAACAAATATATTTGTATTGAACCATAAATCTGAATCTTTATTAATAAAGTTGATATATTAAAATATTATGAATTAATTTACCTAAAACAGCAAGATACTGTTCCGAATCCGGCAACTTTTCGGTTATTGTAGGTGTAAAGTTATCTTCAAATTTTGTAATGGGGATTTCTGGAATGTTGACGTTTGCTTGACAAGTCGACCAAGGATCCATGTTGTTTTTATTATAATTAGTACCAACATAAGTAGTTTTTTCTAAAATTGTTACCTCCTACTACCAACTTCGAATCGAACTTCTTTGACACAAAATATATAATCTTAGAATAATTCTTTGAAGAGACTTGTGGCGCCGATCAACAGCGGTCTGGCTAATTAAATTGAGTGGCGCCATCAGTAGAAGTATAGACCAACAACTTATTTTCCCGCAAATTTTTCAGTTATTTTACATTTGATCTTGTACGCATGACGTCAGCAGGGAACTACATACTTTAGCTTTTACGCAACTAGTAGTTATAGTCAATATTATAATGTCAATATACAGGGTGTTAATTAACACAATAAATTCAACAGACGATTATTGTATTTGAGTGATTTTAAGACAAAAAGTTCTTATTAACATTGGGCCACAAATGCTTCGTTTTCAAGATACAGGGTGTTAAACTTTAACAAGTTGGTGAAGAGAACCGAAAAGTTTCCTTCTAGATAAGTAAAATAAGCAATATATAAAACGTAAATTTGAGCCATTATATGCGCCATTTTTTGGTTAAAGTCGGAGTATTCCGGGGTTGACTATAATTTTGTTCGCCCACATAGTGCAATGGTAAACGTGATATTATAAATCTCCAATTTATATTAAATTTTGAGGGAGCTGAAAATTAATGTGATATTATTTTTTGCGATCGAAAAAATTACAAAAAACTAATGTTCATGTTCAGCACGCTGGAAAAGGGGTGCTGGCAAAATTTGATTAGAAAAATCAATTTTATGGTAAAATAAATAATTACCAAATTTTTATACTTGCTTCGATTTTTCGAATCTAATATTTTAATTTTTATTGATTTCCAAAGGATGTTGACATAAAGTACAAATAGGTGAAAGCTTTTAAAAAACAGGATTGGGTACCATCAAAATTTTCACGTATAATCAATCAGGTTGAAGAAAATTTTTTAATTTTCAACAAATATGTAGTCCGCAAATTAGCAAAAAATGCAGTTCCCACATTAAATCTACCAGAAATAATAAGTAATTATACTTTATATGTATATGCACAGTGTATTCAAGTTTGATCTAGAATACTCCTGTAACATTTGCCTGGACTGTGAGATTTGAATGATTTTTTTTGCATGTAGAACTCTCCCAATTCTTAGTGAACATTTTAATGCGCACCACATAATTTTATAAAAATTATCTTCATTAATCCTTTTTTATGAACATGAACAGCCCCAATCTTCAGATTCTTTTATGATTGTCTCCTATCAGGCATAACCTACCCACGTCGCAGTCATCATATTCTGACCTAAGTAGTACAGTTTTGCCAAAGTCAATTGTAGAACCAATACTTTACCCACATACAGATCTGGTCGAACGAAAAGTGCAGGTGGTAGAAATGTATACGCTCAGTTGAAGAATGAACGTGCGGGCAAAGAGCAATGCGCAGTTTCTCTGGTCCATTGCGTTGTCAAAATTCAGTTATCGACTAGTCGCCTAGCAGTGCAGTGCGGGAATGCGAAATTTGGTATGATTCAGATAATTTTAATTTATTATAGGCACCCTTCTATTAATCATTCATATTACAATTGCGAAAGGGAAAAATATGAGGGATATTTGGTTTACTAATATTATTACAAAATGGCATTTTGGAGACCTTTTGAAATGGAACAAAACGAAATTTACCATCAATATAATAAAATTGTTTGAGGACATAAATAATTAATGTCTATGCAATTTAGTATAGATGTTACGATGTCAATTGGAATCTTAAAGCACAGGACCGTATGCATACTTCTCGTGAAATTTCTTCCTATGCTTTGACCATGATGTGTCTCGTAATTTATACTCGAATAGCAATTCGGCAAGTCCGGTATTTAGGCCAGTCATATGGTACACAATAAAGGGTCCAAAATTGCAATAATTAGGGTAAAGCTGATTTTTTTATATGTTGTTAAGATCTATCCGAGTAACTTAAATCCAAATTTGCAACCTCGAAAAACTTGTGCCAGCTGAGATATATCCAAAAAACAGTGAAATATTTGGACTATTTTTAGTTTTTTACCAAAAAAACACTAAAGGAAACTTCTAACAAAAAAGTCATTCTTACCTTTTCTCAAGTAGATAAAATTTGCTACAATTTGAGCTCCACCGGAGCTCGGTAGCTCTGGTAATTCCTGAGATACAGTTTTGCAAATATAAGATTTTTTTTCCGAAGACTGCAAACTTTTACTTACACCCTACATCCGAGAGGAATATTGGAAAAACTACTAATCTTACGTAAAAGTTAATAAGAAATAAAGTTTTGGTAAATTTAACAATTTAGTCTGTTAAGATTAAAACGGTGTTATAAGAAAAATAATCTGCTCAAAAATTACTAGGACCAGGACTATCGTCTTTGATGAGAATACCGTACTAAAAATCCCTCAAGAAAAATTTCTGTCTAACGAGACAAATAAGCGGCGTCTCATCCAAATGTTGAAGACTGAATTCGAGAGGCACGGAATTGAAGTCTATCAAGCAGAAGAAGACGCAGATACCCTAATTGTGGAGACTGCTCTCTCAAAAAGCCCTCATTTCGCTCAAGTTTTCATTGTCGGGGAGGAAGTTGACTTGCTTGTTATTCTCAATGGATTAGGATCCACTGCAGAGAATGTATACTTACATAAGGCTGGCAGAGGTGGATCAGACCATTCTCAATTTTCCTCTAGCTCATTTAAGTGTGACGATGTACAGGACATTCCAAGGCATTGTACTTATACTCCACGCCCTCAGTGGCTGCGATACTACGTCTGCACTTTTTTGGCAAGGAAGAATTAAATTTTGTAGTGTTCTCCAGCAAAACACAAAACTCATACACGATCTTGGAGTAAAATTGCAGCCTGATGCAGACTCTGATGCAATAGAGAAAGCAGGAGAGAATTTTCTGGTGGCGCTATACGAAGGCGAAAGCGGAGACACCCTGAACTCCCTACGTTACACACTGTTCCTGAGGGCTTCTGCACGTTCAAAAATTAATTTAGCTCGTCTACCACTCACTAAAGATGCTGCAAAATATCATTTCTATCGAGCATACCACCAAGTGCAGCAGTGGCTGGGAAAAGTCAAATTACCATCGGACTGGGGATGGAAAGTAACTGAACAAAGTCTCATCCCCATTACTACCACAGAACCTCCCGCCACTCAATTACTTTTAAAAGGCCTGTCCTGTAAATGCCAGAAGGGATGTTTGGGGGCCTGCTCTTGCAGGAAAGCTGGAATTAAATGTTCACTGCTGTGCAAATATTGCGAGGGCAACTTGTGCACCAATATCCCTCCAATTGAGGTGTTTGAAGATGAGGACGAGTTACTGCAGGATGAGGAAAACAAGCCTGACGACATAATCTCCACCTCTGTCTATAATATTGAACCTGACAATTATTTAAATGAGCCAGGGCCCTCCAAGTTGTCAAAATTTTAAATTAACTATAAAATAAATACGTAATACAAGTATTAACCTAACAACTGTCTTTTTGTTTAAAAAAAAAGTTATAAAATTTGTTTTTTCATATATTTGCACAACTGTATCTCAGGAACTACCAGAGCTAGCGAGCTCTGGTAGAGCTCAAATTGTAGCAAATTTTATCTACTTTAGAAAAGGTAAGAATGATTTTTTTGTCAGAAGTTTCGTTTATTGCCTTTTTGGCAAAAAAATTTAAAAAGTCCAAATATTTCACCGTTTTTCGGCTATATCTCAGCTGGCACAACTTTTTCGGGGTTGCAAAATTGGAATTAAATTATTCAAATGGATCCTAACAACATATAAAAAAAATAAGTTTACCCTAATTATTGCAATTTTGGATGTACAATATGACTGAACTAATTGGTAAACTAGTCTGTCTAATGTAGAATTGACTGCGGCACGCTGGTCATCAAAGCAAACCTGTATTGGTCCACTAGGTTGTAAATCATTTTTTTGTATGGTAGATGGGTTCACTTAGCTTTGCCAGTGCAGTGCAGAGCATTGCTTGACAGGGTATGTTGTTGGTATAATACGTATTATTATTTATTAGTTAATATCGTAACCAGTAAAGTTATTAAAATAAATGTTATATGTAAATAACTCGGGAAAATCCCCAAATAGTGGAACCGGTTTTTGTCGAAAGCATCGAAACAAACAGTTTAAAAACAAAGATTTACACCTACAAAGTCAACGTATTATATTAAATAAATGAATGTTTGAAAATTGAAAATAGTGAATAATGTGATAAAAAAGTTAGGAAACGGATTAACGAATTAACTAAGATATCAAAAACGACAATTTAACACGTAATTAAAGAATGATTGATCACGGTACAAAGAGAAAACGGAAAAATACAAAATTACAGAAAATTGACAATTTTACCAGATGTACTGTGGCGCACAATTTATATGTGTAAAGAAAATAAAGTTCATACTTTGAACATGATTCGAGATAAATTAAGCGATTATCCTAATACAATGCGATTTTAAACATAAAAATCTTGATGGTAATTATATAGTAATATAGTTCGGCATATAGTATATCTAGACGAGACAGGGCTAAATTTTTCTGGTCTATGGATTCCGTAGAATTTATGAGTTAAATGTTTTTATGCGGTTCCAATTGAGATCGTAACAATAACTTTCCTATTCAGAAAAACCTGTAATGATCACAATTAAAACCACTTTAATAATGTTCTTCAAATATTTTATTCTAACATATCCACTCTTCAAATAAAAATGCTTGTTTTCCATTGAATGAAAATTAATTTAGTCTCATTAGTTTTGTTAATCGATCGCCAATCTCTATTGGCCATCACTTTGCAAAAGTAACGAATTAAAACCAACAAAAAGTTTGGTTATACCACTCTTTATTTTAATATATTTTTTATTTCACTTTTCATAATTTGAAACACAGAGAGCAGAAAAATTCATGTTAAATCCAATCAATAATTGCAATCTGTACAAATCTATTTTTATTTTTGTGTGAGAAGAAACTAACAAGAATTCTAATAAACAAAGAAGAAAGCAGCAAAGTATTTATTAAAGAAATAAAACAGTAAAAAAAAATAAATACTAGAAAATTACAAAAAAAAAAGACTTTAACGAATAAATATGGCAATTAAATAACAGATCTTATTTCTTTGAAATCTGAACAAGATGTCCGCCTATTGGCCGTTAAAATCATACACTACATACAACCAATTGAGGAAAGGTGAGAAATCATTATAAATCGGAAAATCAAAATGTTGCCAGAAAAACTATTCTAAATAAAAAAAAATATATTAAGTACAACGCTTTCATAAAAACAATAAATGACTTCCCAAATAAACTAAAGCATTATTTAATGATCATTTTAAAACTATGATAAATTGCATTGTTAAACAATATTAGAAAAATACCAAATCAAAAATTCTGCCAAAGACAGTGTCACAAAGTCAAAAAACCTTAGGGTTTATAAAAATTAACAAAAATAAAACTGTATTCTTCAGAATAAAAAACTCACAACCCCAAACTCTTAAAGAAGTAACAAATTGACGGGTTCTTAACATTTATACTCTTTTTCGAAGTACTAAAATAATTTTTCTCTATTTTTATCAGTTACTCAGCGTGTAATTTCGTAAATCGATGTTTATTAAAAACAATACGCATTTCCAAAATATAATTTCCATTTCATTTGCGATTTGAGTTTTTTATTTTAATCTATAAATATCCCAAATATATACAATTCTTTTAAAGACTTTCTTTTTATTATCAACAAGATATTAAATAATAGTTACAGTTAATGGAGATCATTGTCGAGTCAGCCAATAGCAAGCCACTTTTCAGAAAAAATCAGTACCCTTGTGCTTAAATATACAAAAAAATATATTATATAGAAGGGCTTTCGCCTCTAAGGTTTAGGTACCACAATCATATAAATAATTATATCACATTATTTTAAGCTAACAAACGAGATTATTACGAAGTTTACGCAAAATAACGACTGACCAGTGTTACTCCCCTATCGAAATATCCAGATATCATAAAGTGAAGTTTATTATTAAAAAAGTATGAACATAGGCCAGGAAATATAGAGTTGGACGTGACTTTTTGTTTCGGCAAGCTGAATTTATCACTGTAGATAGTAAATATTATGTACAATAACATATTTCCAGTCATAAAAATGGGGGGAAGATTGTTTACAGGGTGGTTAATTGTATAATTTTTATGTAAATTCACGTTTTTCGCTTATAACTTTTTTCCGTTCATTTCCACGAGAAAACAGTAAAGTACTTTTTTTTTCATCTTCAAAAGACCTACAAAACAAGCCATCGAGCGTCAAAAAATATTGATTAGATTGATAACTTTTGATCTAATCAATATTTTTTGACGCTCGAGGGCTAGTTTTGTAGGTATTTTAAAGATGAAAATAAAAGAAGTATTTTACTGTTTCCTCGTGGAAATGAATGGAAAAAAAGCTTTTTATGACTGTGGAAACTAATATGTTATTGTATATAATATTTAGCATCTTAGTGATAAATTCGGCTTGACGAAAAAAAAGTCGCGGAATGGTCATTTCACAGCTTATTTTCCTGGCCTAAACAGTTGTTTTTGGAAAAAAAAATGCAAAACAGAGAATACCAAATATAGGAACTAAAAATCATGGAACTAAAAATTTTAGAGGGAGATTCTGCTCATAAAAAATAATGGTACGAGTTCCTGACACTCTTTTGAAATTTTTAAATATTAATAGTGTTGGAGTTTTTTTTTTTAAATTTCGCCATAATTTTTTTTCATTCAAGTTTTTCAAATCTGGTATGCACCTAAAAAAATCATCTAAATTATAAATTCCTAGAAAGCTTAATTGGCTATTATTATATAGAAAATTGATCGAACACTAAAGTTCAAATCTATAATACCTACTTATATTTTGAGACTGCATTTTCTGTTCAACTTCTGGAAATTTTAGTGTTTGAGATTTTATTTTACTAAAATCATTCAAGGTAATTAAGGGATAAAGAAAGCCATTCTAAAATTTTGGAAAAAATTTCAATTTTTGGATAAATGGTTTAAATGTGAAGAATAAAGGAAAAAAGTTTTAGGTGGCGGAAAAATCGGTAACACAAGTTTTTTCGAGGTTAAGCGGAACCACTCGCAGCACGTTGCAGGAGTGCTTATTGTAACTCGTGAATGCACCCGATAATTAGCTATTGAGGCCAGACTGAGTCGGAGATAAAACCTAAGAGGATGAAGAAAATGTCAATACAGAAGGCCAATTATATGCAGGTGTCGCTGATTGAAGGTATACTTATAACAAAATTTCTTATATTGAATGACAACGAAAACTTTAAAAGTGTTTTTCGAAAAACCACCTTTTTTTAACTGGCCAGAAACATACCCAAAAAGTTTTCAACGAATCGACTTGAAATTTAGTACAAGAGCTATATAACTCGGGCAGCATCGTAATTTTTCACCTTTTCTCGATACTTTTTTTTGAATGTTCACTAAATCAGCAATTATTATTTTTAATTTCCCTTCAATGCTCCCTAGTTTTTAGTATGTCAGAAATTTTTTGTTTTTTTGTTCCAAGACCAACCGTTAATAAGAAACGCTTCCGGCAATACAGCCCTCTGAATAAAAGGTGTCGTTGCTTTCAAATTGTTTGAAAAAATTCACAATACTACCTGAAAAGATGTACAATAAAGCTTTTTTGTACCCGACGACATATCTTGTATCGATTGTTCCTTGAAAATTCCCGAAAATCACATTTTTTTCCAACCTCTAAAGTAAAACCGTTTAAAACAATTTCTTTGTGTTCAAATCTTCAAAAAAACAAGTTTTTTTTTAATCGGTCGCCTCAAAATATTAAATACGATTTCTCCTCGGAAACGGTTGTTATCAACAAAACAAGATCAATATTCCGAGAAATTTTTTACCTGTCTTTGACATAAACCTGTTTAATAATTAAATAACTGCAAATAAAGAAGTTAAAATCAATTTTCTGGCTAATAATGTCCATTTAAGCCCTTTAAGAAGTTAGAATTTTTTTCCATTGGTCCAGTATGTTATAGACAAGCGCACCAAATTTGAAAAAAATCGCTTGACTGAAGAAAAACTTATGGCAAAACATTGTCTTTGAAGAAGTGGCATAAGATCTTCCACCAATATTTTTATGAGTAGAATAACCACCTAATTTTTTGCTCCCAGTTTCCAAACACTCCGTATAATTTAAAAATTGCAGTACTTACACCTTGAAATCAAACATTTATTTCTCTTGTGAACAGAAATATGAAATTTACATGAATAAATCCAATGAAAAAGGAGAATAACACCGATATAAATGTAACAAAAACAGCATCAGCGGACGATACCGGGGGTGGGGGGCTAAGTACGGGGGCAAACTAGGCTTCCGTGGAAGCAATCAGGGAGCTTTTAGGAGTGTAGGCCGTCGCATTGGGGTCGAGGTTGGATGGTGGACTTTCGGCCAATCGTACTCTAGAGATATTGCTGGAGGATGTTGGACCACCAAAGGTATCGTTCGGCATCACAGCTAGAACCTGTGCAATTTTGCCTTTCAGCTCTTCGATTTCTTTTTCTTGAGCTCTGTTGGCATCTACAAATTATAAAAAAAAATGTTATAGAGGTTACCTTTCATTTAAGCTTTACATAAGCTTATCCATTTCGGTCTCAGATAATCATAGAATCGCTTGAAAAATGTTAATGTTTAATAAAAAATGTAAAATTTGATCCAATTTAAAAAAAAATCTCTCATATTCAAGGAAATGTAGAATAGTTAAAAAGTTATTACAAGTTACAATAGGGTTGTTTCTAGAACAGTCTTTGGCTGTCGGAATCATATAATTGATAGTGTATATATCTTTACAGTGAGAAAAATACTTAGATCCAATATGGAAACTTCCACGAATTATGATACAACATATTTTCTACATCTTTTTTGCAATATATGAAAATTAAAAATAACGAATGTAATAAAAAATATTTCACACAAACTTTTTAAAAAGAGTTTTATTACTTGAGGATAAAATATTTATAAGAAATGTCAGCTAAAATGAAAAAATTGTTATTTAGGCAATCGAAATGTGTAACAGTTAAATTTATGATAAGATATTAAAAGTTAATGTATTACTTGTATTTCCGAAAAGTTTGAGGTTCAATATTTTCGCAGGGAACATTGATTGACATTCTCAAATCAAATATGCAAACGGTTTTGATAACACCCTGTGAAGTACACTAATATCACCAAATTCAAGCAACAATCGTACTGTATTAAAGGAGATAAGTACACATTTTTATAAATATGTAAGACTGTCTAAAAAATATTGTACTTAAAACCTCGTAAAAACCTAAGTTTTTATGTCTATATTGCAAGATTTAAAATAGCAGGTAACAGGCATCAATTACACAGCCAGACAAAAAAAAACATCAGATTTACAAAATTCAATTCTAAACATTTAATCAATTACCTATGTACTTTAAGAAGGTTAAAACATGATTAGGTACTCAGGTTATAAAGTAAACAAAAATATTACAAAATGATTTCGCACCTTTATACCAAATTTGACGTGAATGTGTTATTTTTTGAAAATTTGGTCGGTCATCTTGAATCCGCCATCTTGAATTTTGTAAAATTGACCTTGGATCCGTGATTAGCGACCCCGAAAACCCACGTATACCAAATTTAACCCGAATGTTATTTTTTGAAAATTTGTTCGGCCATCTTAGATCCGCCATCTTGAATTTTGCAAAATTCACCTCGGATCCGTGATCAGCTATCCCGAAAACTGCCGTATACCAAATTTAGCGCAAATGGGTTATTTTTTGAAAATTTGGTCGGCCATCTTGAATCCGCCATTTTGAATTTTTTTAAATTCACCTCGGATTCGTTGATCAGCGACCCCGAAAATCCCCTTATACCAAATTTTCACGAATCTATTATTTTTTGAAAATTCGTGATTAATTGAATCGTTTTTTTAAGGTTAGAAAAAGAACCATCAATTCCGACTGCGGATTGACGTTCGGCGGGGTCTTAATAATTATATAAATGAACATTTGAATACAGAAAAAAACTTTTTTTTTATTTTTCCTAGCACTTTTGTGAATTTTTGTTATTTTTGAACAGTTTTTTGAGGTTAAGAAATTCCTGTGATGTGATAGCTCAATTCTGACACTACTATGGATAACATATGTCGCATGAAAAGTACAATTTTTTTTATGGCTGTGTTATCCGCAGAACATTCAGAGCCAGATTATAAGGGTTGCCTTTTATATTTCGGGAATAAAGAACAAAAAAAAAATAATCATCGTCCCTATTTATTTTATTTTTATTGTTTTTCAAAATATTCTCCCTGAAGATCAATACACTTTTACATGCGCTTGAACCGATTTTACAAGCATTTTCTCCATTCTGAATGAGGTACCCCCAAAACAGACATTTTAAGCGCATCAACCGCTTCTTCAGGCATCAAAAAAAGTTGATCTCGTAATTTATTTTTTGATGTACGGGAATGAAACAAAGTCATTGGGTGCCAAATCAGGGCTGTGCGGCAGATAACTCAACCATTTGACTTTTTCAGTTCTCAAAAAGTCTCGTTTCAGCTAATGTGTGAGAGCTCACATTATCGTGGTAGAGGATGGTGGTTGGTTTCTAGCATTTTTTCAAAGACTTCTGGCGAACAAATGGTTGTGTACCATCAAGAATTGACCTTCAGACGTTGCACTAATGATACAGTTACGTCCTATTTTTAAAAAAACAGGCGACTATTTTGAGTAGTAACAATTCATGCGCAAACAACTTTTACACACTCGATTGCTGTTTACTTTAGGGGTTATACGGATAGATCCATGATTCCTCACCTCCTACGCTGTCATAAACATGCTTTGGAGCACCGCGATTATATTTCGTGAGCATTTTTTTCGACCAATCGACAAGCCTCTTTTTGATCATTTGTCAAATTATGTGAAATCCAATGCGAATAAATTTTTTTGGCGGCCAAATGTTCATGCAATATTGAATGTATGCTGGTCCCATTAATGCCCAAGGATGTCTCAATCTCACGATAAGTCACGTGACAATCTTGCAATATCAGTTCACTCACAGCATCAATGTTTTCTAATTTTGGACAACATTCACGAAATTCATCAGTGAGCGAACCACGGCCCCGACTGAATTCCGTATAACACCGATATACAGCGGCTTATGGTGCTGAATTCGCAAAAGTCGAATTAAATTCACACTCATCGACATCGACGGTTGTAAAAAATAATCGCAAGGAAATGTTCTCGACTTAATTCCATTTTTTGGTAGAGAAGAATTTTTCAAGTCATTGTAAACAACACTGTCTGTACGTCAAAACGTTCTGATAAGTATATCGATAAAAAGTCGAACTTTACAATAGAGACGTCGGTTGTCAAATGGCAGCATTAGGATCGTCCTGAAATATAAAAGGCAACCCTCATAACATTTGCTCAAGGATACAAGTGATTAGAAGCTGATTGAGTTACCGTTATGTTCAGTGATGGGTCTGGATTTTGTTTAAGCAGTGATAGAAGCATGCGAGTGTATACAAGGCCAAGTGAATGCTATACACAGTATAATACTGTTTCATCTGTTCTCGTTGGTGGAGACTCGGTTATGGTGTAGGAAGGTATTACCTTAGAGGCTCGTATGTAGTTGATGGTGGTAATATGTAATGCTTTTAGCGCCTTCTCATTCTCATGCATGATAATGCTAGACCACATGCTGCCCAAATTTTAGAACAATTTTTTCGATGTTAATATTCCTACAATGAAATGACCAGCCAGAAGCTCTGACCTGAATGCCATAGAACACATCAGGAATAATATGGGCAGACACCTTAGTGAACTTCCTCTTCGTCTTAACAATCAACAACAGCTGGGACAAAGGTTACAAGATCTAATTAAGACCTTAATTTTAAGTATGGTCCATGTCAGGCAATTATTCTCGAGTAAAAGGAGGAATTACAGAATATTGGCCCTTTTGTTCTTTTGTCGGGTCCTGTTATTTCAGCCTTTAGTTTTACTTTTTCTTTTTTCAGATAATAAAATCTTGCAGTTACAAAAATATGTATCTCCTTTAAAAATAGAGATAAGACGAATTTTGAGTATTCTCAATCTATTGATCAAGCTAATGTAATTATTGTTTGGAGTTGCTGATGATATTGTCTACTTTATAGTGTATTATCAAAATCCTGTAAAAATTCATTTTCAAAATAACGCCCAATCAAAATTGAATTGTGACTAACAATCAGTACACAATATTGATTCCCTACGAATCTCTTCATAATTTTAAAAAATCTTTTTTCAGAAATCTTTCCATCGCCAGTGTGTATATAGGGTAATTCAGTCACGTCATTAATTTTAAGGAAAGAAGGAAAAATGAGTAGAATTCAAATATGCGATTAAAAAAATTTTAAAATGCATATGTGCGCTGAAAAAAAAATATTTTCAAATCACTGTTTAATCCCCTTTTTGGACAGTTCCTTACCGCTGACCTACAAAGGTTTATCGAGAGTTAATTTTAACCTACTGTATTTGGTTACTAACCTAGCTAGCTTTTATTGCGTTTTTAATAGTGGACGATAAAAACAGACCTTTTTACCTAGACACATGAATGTATAAGATATTTCTTTACATTTTAAATATTAACAAGTATTATTTATTTGTTAATAAAAACAAATGTATAAGGATAATAATTATTTTCGAATGTTAGGTTATTTAGTATTTCTATGTATTTTATATTAAAATAATGACTTATATACTGGAAATCCAGTATAAATAGTAATATCTAGATAAGCAACAATTATTTCTGTTATGAAAGATTATACATATGTTGAAATTGTTTATATCATCGATATCACAGAAAAATAATTATAATCACAAGTCATCCAAAATATTATTTGGAATAAAATATTTTGTATTTCTTTTTGCACAAAACGTTAGAAAAATAATGAAATAGGCGAAAAAATCTTTTGAAAAAATTATTAACAAAGAAATGGATCAACAAATTGAATGTTTATGTCTATCAAAATTCTACGGACCAAACCAGCAACAAGAATGATGTACGGCAGAGAATCATTTTCATAAAATATTAACAGTCATACTTACTCTCTTTAAGCTCTAGTTGCCTTTTAGCCTCTCCGAGGGCACTGAATAGATCGAGTTTAATGCGATTTTCTGCAGATAACGAGTTCTCCAAGTGGGAATTTTTCTCTTGCATTGCCGATAAGGCAGACATGAGTATGTCTGTGTCACGCAACTGTTCTACGAACGCAGCGTTTTCCCTCTCTAATGCTTGGAGTCGTTCCTCTTGCCAGTGCTTTGCTGAGCGCATGTCGGCGAGTTCAGCTTCGAGCTCCCTTCTTCTCGATTTGCATGCTTCTGTACATTCGCCCCTTGACGATTGCTGTGCTGCAACCTAATAAACAAACCTTAATCCTATTACTCATCCTAGATGACGTCCAAAATCAATGTTAACACATTCATGGATACACACTATTTTCATTTTTTTAACTTGTCAAAATGAAAAAAAACTTATGTAAATAAAGAATCAGGGTGAAGAGAAAATTGCCTCCCCCTTTTTCTCCATTATTGTTTGAGATACGAAAAAAGTTAAGAATTAAAGTTATAAAGATTTATAAACATATTTTTAACACATATACCACGAGACGATAGAATGGCACGTTTTTGAGATGTAGCCTAACTTGTTTTTCTAAACAGAATATCCTGAAGATACTGCTGGAAAGACTGTCAAAAGAAGTTTTCAAATATATATCAGATATATCTTTAATGGCTTTCGAGATATTTCATATTACTGCCGCAATTTGCACCAGACATTTGACTCGTCAAAAGCAACTTTTGTTCAATTATTTTTTAGAATTGAAAATTTTGGTTACCTCTACTAGAGCATAAATCAAAATGCTTAGACGAGTTAATAACAAACAGAAAAAAGTACAGAAACTGGTACAGTGAATAAATTTGTAATTTGCCACTTTTGAACAACCGGCATAGATTACAAATTTCTTTACACTAAAAAGTAATTTGAGTTTCAAACTAACTCCATTTTATAGAAAAACTGCGTTAAAATGGGAGAAAGTATATTATTTGTTCATTAATTCATATTTAGACAAACTGTGTAATAAAAACTATAAAAATGTATTGCTCGTTGGCTATTTGCTATAGAGCCCTCTGAAATCATGCACTGTTGTCCACCGAAGGTCGTTGTCCGAGTTCATTGTTCACAAGATATGTAGAGGCCGCAATTTTGAAGTGAAAACAAAATTGTTGTTTTCCTGCGTTATTAACATGTTTTTTAAGAATATGAACCTAATTGCGGGTAAAAATTGTGAAAATTTAAATTTTCACAGATATTTGAAAAAAATTTATCGATTTTCACCAGTTTTTTTTCACTTATTTTGAATAAAAAAAACACCCTTAATATTACGACATCATTCCAATTGTTAGTTCATGTTCTTTGTAATTGTAAAAAAACACACTCTCAATTTTCATAACGATTGGTTCATAACTTTTTGAGCTAGAGTTCCCACGAGTCAAAAAAAATTTAATTTCAACAAAAACGAGTTTGAAGATTTCCGAAAACTAGAAATTTGGGAAAGTTATCATTATATTGTGCTTTCTGGTCAACCTGAGATTCCAGCACCATATCTTCATCCTCCTTCATCATCATAGGCATCATTCTGAGCTTGCATCTGCTCTTTTCTTGTTTAAAAAGTGAATATACTACCAGAACAAGCGCCCGAGCGCTGACCCAATGGGTGTTTGGTATTAGGCTCATAAAATCAGAACAAATAGGAATTTCGTTTTAAAATATTGGCAGTGTATTTTTGAATAGTTATACTAACAATTTATGTAATAAAAAAAACTTGATTTTTTTAACCTCCCCTTAAATGCATGGGAAAAACTGACACTTATTTCTGGGACACCCTGTATTATACTTGTTATACATAAATTGTAATAAATCTCCCAAATTAATTGGTCGGGAAATTGAAGACAATACAACCGGTAACTAATTCTAATATAGGTCAATTTATTTACATTTAATTTTATTTTTTTTTTACTTTTAATTTTCTATTCAATGCACTAGTACCGATTTTAGTAACATTCTATTGTTTTCAGTCATTTTTAATTTACATATTTAAAAATATGTTACACACTGGCATAAGCCTATTATGATTTTTATTCCAAAAGACGATTTACCGTAGAATATAAAAAGGTGCTACAACTGTGACAATTTTTACACAATTTCAGATTGTATGTGAACGGGTAATATTGACTAAACTAAATATGGCAACAAAACTAGTTTGTTCAAAAAATTTTAGACTTGTAAAATGAAATAATTACCTGAGCTGCTCTTGCGTCTTCTTTACGGTTCTTTCTCTCCTGGCTTAACTGTGACTCTATGTTAGATCTCAGTCGCCTCTCTTCTACTAAACGTCTCTCTAAATTACTTATACTTTGTTTGTCTAAGGATTTTGTACTTAAGGCGCTCTGCAGCCGTTGCTGTAGCTCCTCTATTTCCCTCTGCATGGCAGAGAGCTCTCCTTTTGAAACTTTTTCGGTTGTTGTCAGCGAGGCAACCTAATAAATACACCATAAATATCAAAGAAAGCCATTTTAATTGATGACTAAATACAATTTTTATAGAATAATAAAAAATACACTTAAAATTGTGATATAATTTAAATTGCAAGACTCCACTTATGCTGGGAACTACCGAATAAAAAAATTAATAAAGGTTTTTAAATCAGTTGCTGCAATATTCCACTGAGAAAGCAAAACACTCTAAATGAACACAGATGTTTGAGATGTATCATGAAAAAAATTTTAAATTATTCTTTCATTTTACAATTTTTTTAAGGCAATCCGACATTCAACAATTTTTTTGAGAACTAACAGAACATATACATAACTGTTCCAAATTAAAGAAATATACAATGTGATTTTTTTTTAACGAATTCCTCTAAATCATTTTGATGCAGTAGCGCTGACTCTACTTTTGAGAATAGACAATAACTTCTCGATTTTGTTTCCTAACTTTTGATTTCTGCTGTATTTTCAACTTTAATAACAAGCTTACAAGCCTAAAGCACACAACACCAGTGTGGACCTCGTCTTGCTTGCTCTTGTTGACTGTAGATTTATTCAGTATGTTTTTTTTTCATAATGTCAAAAGTTGTGGACAAGAAAGACTGCAACGTGTCTTAAATAGAGAGGAATACAATTTATCTTTATAGTACCTGGTGATATAGCACGAGAAATGGATGTTTCAAATAATAAATGTGGCATGCGTTACAGGAGCAGTTACTAGTTTTTTTTTTTAATATAGGTATAATTTTTTCCCTGTTGTCTTTATACAAAAGAGCTATACAAAATGGGATGGTGGGATCGCGTCTATTTGGAGCAAGTCTTTAATGTAACAAAATTAAATGGTAAACAGGGTGTTTATTAAGTACTTGTACAAACTTTAAAGGGTGAATCTTTGACTAATTTTAAGAAAAACAGTTCATATCAACACAGGTCTGCAACGACTTGGTTCTTGAGATACAGATTATTTTCACTTGTTTTTCAAAAACTCCTAATGATTCAATTTGCAAACTTCCAACGCAGGATTAACTTTAAACCCATTTTTTTACAAAACAGTTGCTTTCAGCGACATGTACTAAGAGTAGTATGTAAAATTAAATGGAGAATAGGTATGTTTAGTCAAAAATCACATACAGGGAGACACAAAAAAGTTATGGTTATTAAAATCAAGCACACACAACACAATATTAAACAAAAAATTAAGTAAATATTTTGAGTTTCTCATCAACAATACTACCAGTTTCCCGAATTTTGTTAAATTACCATGTTATTGAACAAAAATATAATCAAAATACCAAACAAAAATTTTTTTTGGAAGCTCTGTATCTCACAAACCAAGCCGTCGTGGACCCATGTTCATATGAACTTTTTATCTTAAAATTAATCAAAGAATCACCCTTTAAAGTTTGTACAAGTACTTAATAAACCCCCTGCATATAAGATAACAATGACAGAATTTTTATTTTTGAGTTTTGAATTCCAATTTATAAGTATTATCTCCTTAATACAAATTGTAGGCAAACAAGATTATATTTACTTAGTACTTTTAAACAAAATTCCAAATAACAACTTAAAATGATATTGATAACGTATTAAGATTGTTTACACAAAGGTTTATCTATATCTGGACAATTAATAACAAACAATTAAGATTATTTAAAAATATTTCTAGTAACAATATGTACCTTAAAGAAATTTAAGTACTATAATATTTAAAAATATGTAGTCCTCCATATCTGATAATTTATTTTAATCAATTTAGGGTAGTCATTTTTGGCTTACTGATTCTCAAATGAATTTTGAATTACATTTTAATTTTTTATAATTAATTTATACACTAACAATCACCACATACCTGCAGCCTTAACTCTTGTTCGCTTGCTCTACTGCTTTGGAGATCAGTTCTAAGCTTCTTAGCATCAGTTTCCAACCTTTGCAAATATTCCGCAGCTTCGCGTTCTTTGTCCTGTTCTTTCTTCTCCCGCTTTCTGGTTGGCTTGGGCTCGGGCTCCTGCGGTGCCGTGTCTTCCATGCCGGCACCTATCGCGGACCCGTTGCTGTGTGAATGACTCACTTTCTGTTTGTCTATGTGTCTCTCTGTGTGCTTGTGATCATGTTGATCACCGTGATCTTTACACTTATCAACGGACTTTCTATGGTGCGATTTTGTGCCATGTGTGTTATGGACCCCGTTGGCTATCGTCCCATTGGGGATGTGTCCATTTTTCTCATGGGATTGTCTGAAAATTTAAAGTAAAAAGCATTCAAAATTTTTCTAATTATAATTTAGATAGTACCATAACCTCCGCCAATTGAAAGCTGAAAATTTGCAAATAGGAGTTTTTTGATATGCTCTCTGTGATTAAAATAATTATTATCGACTTCGGTTCCTTGCATGCACTAGCTGTCCACTTTTATATTCAAAATATTTTTGACCCTATTTTTTAATTTTCTTTTTCTAACTTTGATTTAAGAGGAACAATTGTTGAACAAATATTTTAATAGGAAATGATCTATCCAAATTTGTAAAAGATTTTCATTAATGCCAATACAAAGTTAAGTTGCCAAATGAGTACTTTTTAACTGTAAAAAACATATTCAAAAACAATAAATTCAAATTTTTTACCTAACTATTTTCTTTCAGTATAGTGATTTTTATGGAAAATCATTCTAGAAAACTAAAAAAATGAACAGAGTAATCCAAAGTTTTGCCCATTTCGTCGACCTCACGAATTCAATTCAAAAGTGATCTAAATAATAGCTTCTGATGATACTTTAGAGTAGGCATAATTTTAAGTTGCGCATAGTTTTTGTTTTGGAGATATGACAAGTCGAACCTGTTAGTTGGCTTGTTCACGTCAAAATGAATCCAACATTCTCGGCACACTCGTTCATTGTGTTCAAGATTCTTTCTATTTCCTATGTAAAATCTTTCGTTCTTTATGAATCTACCATTAGATTTTACCAAACACTTTGTTTTAATCAGGTACTGCCTATGTTACAAGAAAATCAGGATTTTTGCTGAAAATATTCAATCAATCAGTATTTTTATACTGGGGACTTACAAAATCACGATAGATACTCTAAACCTTGTATCCGAAGGACTTTGAACTAGGATAATTTGGATGTAAGATTAATTAATAATGATGAAAGAAAATAATAATTGAGTAATCAAAGTATACATTAGCGATTTTTTAAAATTGATTCTATTGCATGCATACAATTATGTATCCTTACAACAGTTAGGATTAGATTATTCTTTAAGAAAACATCATGTTGTGAGAGACTACGCTTTTTGCAAACAATGAGGTTACATTTTCATTACTCAGATCATGTAAAACAATACGCAACTATTTTCTTAAGAGAAGTCTTTTCCGTTGGCTCACCAGCACCCGCATTCGCCAAAAAACTGATTGCTCGCCAAACCGAGTGACTTCTTTAAGTATTTGCTATATCTTTTAAGTGGATATATAAATCCATCAGGATTTGCTATGTTTTCAGTATAAAAATATCGTTAAATCAAAGATATTTAGCAAAAATGTTAATTATTTTTTACAATAATCTTTTATAACTTTCTTGTACTATATTTTTGGTAAAATATAATGAAAGATTAGAAAACAAGGAAAAATTTTACGTTATAAATGTTACTGCTGGTATTTGTTGAGAATTTTAAAATAACGCAAGAGGCCACCGAGAATGTCGGATTCGCTTTGGTATGGATGAATCAAATAATGAATTTAACTTGCCATATCCGAAAAATTGAATGTATGCTCAACTTAAAATTTCGCTCACATTAAACTATCACTATAAGCTATCATTTAGACCACTTTTGAATTGAATTCTTGAGGTCGACGAAATGGGCGAAAAATAGGGATTTTTGTGGGTCACTCTTTAAGGTTTTAAATTTATATAAGATTGTGCAAAAAAATTTTCAATTTCAAATAAAAAAGTTTATACAAACTAAAAAAATGGAACACATATTTTTGTTGAACTCATATTAATTTTATAATTACATTACATTACATTACATTACATTACATAAGGTTTATACCTTATAATCTCACACTATACCAAAAATTAAGGGCTTCTCTGCAATATGAAAAATGGTTATGAAGATTCTTGAAGAAATTTTTAATATTGTAACAAAAACTGCAAATATCTCTTGATACAGTTGCATTTAAGCATAGGGCTGCTACACGTTTTTTGCTCAAAATTTTGTGCTTGTTCTAAATTTTCAAAAATATGTAGGGTATTCCATTTAAAATAAAGAAGTTGACAGCTACTTCCCCTCTAACGATGAGGGATTAGAGATTACTAATATTTCCATTGAAGAGAATGTATTGAGAAACTCCATATACAAATTTCTAATTTTAATTTGGATTCTTTCCCTTTATGCATAACCAAACCACATCCAAATGTCAGTATGCCATATAATGGCAAAGTAATAGGCTTGCCTACAATTTTTGACATTGGTAGGGCGTCAGGATGTAGGGGCCACTGCAATCGATGCTCTCAGGTCTGATAAATTAGGCATTTCTCATTAGTATTTATTATACTTATTACCATTTTATAACAGTTTAAGTAACAAATTGCCCGTTTTTAAGACATGCTTTCTTAAATCTGAGCGTTGACTACACTGACCCCTGGTCAGAGACAGCCTAACTTCCCCTAAAACTGTGGTCAATGTCTACAATAAGACGGACCCTCTTGCCCTGTATATCTAATGTTATCAGTAATATGACTAATAAAAAATAAAACATGTAGGTACTTTTTTTTCAAAACATACCTGTTACTATGAATTTTATTATTATTTTGTACAGGCTGTGCAGGAACAATAGCGTTCGCTGGAGCTTCAGTCTGTTCTATTGGAGGGGTAGTCTCTACGGGCAACGCTTGTTGCATCAGTTGCATATAAAACTGATTCTCCTTTGCTACGACTTGCTGCTTGCGCTGTCGCATCCTATACCCCACATAGGACTTAAAACCGAAGCCCAGCGTCACTACGGGGTACCCTATGCAATGTGCTGCGAACGGTCTGCAGAGATCCAGGTGTCCCGGCATGTGTTTTATATCGCGCAGTCTCACTGCGGCCTCCAGATAAACGAACAGTATCCAGAGTATTATCGTGGGAGCACATATCCCTCTGTCTGTGTGCCAAACGTATTGTACCCATACATATGTACTGGCTGCGAAGAACAACCAGTGCACCGGTATGAAGAAGAAGCACAACATGTCTGATGTTAGCGCTATGCACACGAAGAAAATTGAGAAGGCTAAACCTTGATATTTAAACGAATCATATACAGAACGAAGGAGAAGGTAGAATGGCCATAAGAACTCGAAACGGAACTCTAATATGAAATCTGCCAAGATAACTAAGGCCCAGAGGATTACAAACTTCAGATAAAGGAGTGTGCTGAAAAGAAGAATAGTCAATTAGTAACGGACTATTAGTTGTTCAACAGGTTTTTATAAATTACTGTTTTTAAATTTTTGGAATTCTCACAGTATGCTATTAATATTGCAAAATAAATATATTTGATTATAATAAATATTAAATATTACTGGGACTGATGAATCAATTGTATGTATTTATATGCAATATTGTATCAAAAAAAAAATTAATATGCTTTATTCGTAAGTAAAAAAAGTTTTGCAATTTAACTGTCCCCAAAATTTGTTACATATATAGACTAATGTACACATCTTTTACTATTTTACTAGTTATATTTTATATAGGGTGTTACAAAAAATAGATCAAGCTGGTGAGAATAAAGGAACTTATGGTATTTTTGTATTTTTCATTTAGGTGATTCTGTTTCAAAACAGTGTCAAAAAAAGAAGAAAAAGAAGAAAAGAAGAAGGCAGTTAGTAAAAATTTTACATAAACTTTTATGCTATTTTGGCATACTTAGAAATGGAGTTTTAGAATCAAATAAAAATGTATGTAAGGAGTTTTTAGAGAAATTAGTTATATGGTTCGTATTAACTTTAATTGAAGAATATTCAATGCCAAAATGCTACACATTCTTTTTATGCAAATATGCCATTTCTCTGAAACAAACAATTGGATACAAATTTATTTTTATGAAATATGTGCAAAAACATATTTCTTTATACAAAATACCTAATTCACTTTAGCCACAATTGATACTCAAAAACTGATACTCCTGATTAAACTGATTACCCTTCAAATGACAAAATATACCTAAGTTGTGTATATGAATAATTAAATGTAACATGACAACTTATGCCTAGATTTATGCTTAAGATTTATTTATGATAAGTTATTATATTTTGTTACCTAAACTCAATGTTTTGTATTAGAGTAAGATTTTAAGCCCACATTTATAGTAGTATTATTTAATGTAAAACGAAATGTAACTTATATGTTAATGAAAAACATGTCAGTATCACATTAAAATAAGTTAAGCATACATACTAATATCTGTGACATGAAAACAGACAGTTTTGTATGAATTAAATTTGCACAAATTTTAATATTATTTTCTACAAATACATATTACTTAATTAATTTTTCAAAAAAAAATAGGTTTTGTGACCTATATAGGTAACTATTTTTTTTTTATTTATTTAAATAAAGGATATCTCTGTCTACTGAGAATATATATTTTTAACATGTCATATTAGAAACAGGTACATAAAAGCAATCTAATATTTTTATAATCTATTTTTTGTAAGTTTTGTTTGTATCTAGATCCCACTCTTTTCATTTATAGTTTTTATTGGGTTATTTTTCCAAAAGATATTGACTTGGTTGTTAATGTTAAATTAGGAAATGTGGCAATTACAGTAGGTACAAGAAAAAACAGTGTAGAAACTTGGAAACAAGGAAGTCAATAAAATTGGAGAACAAACAAATTGTAACAAAATAGCTCCATAATTTCAATGACATTATTATATGAATTAGCTATAAATTTCCTTATAGACAGAACATAGTTACAATTATAAAACCTTATTCATATGAAGTGGCAATTTTATAAATTTGGCGCCAATAATAAATGAAAAATCAAGGCATTGGTTTTATAAAAGTGATGTGAAGTAGCTAAATGAAAATTTAATTTCTACTTTCTTATATCAGCAATGATATGACGATGAAAAGCAAATGGTTTAAAAACCAAGTGTATTTTGTTTTTTTCTGGTTCTATAACTGAACTAAATTGAAAATGTTCATTGTACAGTTGGCGCCACCCAAATGTGAACGCAGCAGCAGCCACTTCACTCAAAGACCAATTATTTTCTAATTTAGCTATAGCTCTTGCTCTATGCGCTTCAGTTAAATGATCCGGCATATTTCACGTTACTTGTTTACATTTAATTACGTTTGCTCTAAGTGACATATATGTATATTTGACAACTATTGAAATTTACGACTATGATTTGAAGTTTAAATTATACGGTACAATATTGCCGTTCACATTTGGGTGGCGCCGACTGTACTTATACATTTTTTAAATGAACAAGTATCAGTGAAATGCTATTTGTATTTCTAATATTGCCTCCAATTATTTATGGTTATAATTTTTTTTTCCTGTATACCTACGTGGATATTTTGCCACGTGAAAAAATCTAAAATATCAAAACAATCTTTGCACCGAGTCTTACAATAAAAGGATAGATCAAGAATTGCTTTTATGAACTATCTAAGCAATATATTTTTATAATCATAACTAAACTGTATAATTAAGGTGATAATATCTTGCTAAATATAAAATTTCATGAGAATTTTGAAATACTTATCCAATTATTAATTTATTTTCAGTAAATGTAAGATGGTACCTAAGCAACTAAAAATTTGTTGGAAGAGATTAACAACTATTACAGTAGATCTTAATAGCAAGTAGAAAAATATTCCAGCATTCATATACTACAACACGAATGCTAGATTATAAATGTTTGATGCTGACAATATATAATTTAATTCGATTGAATCATAAGCCCAATAAACCAAAATCACCTTTAGACAGATGTACCTACTTCAGTTCACCAATTTTTTTGTAACATACGTACCTATTCATGTATAAACAATATTGAGGTACTTTAGCATAAAGATGAAATAATAAAAAACAAAACTATTAAAAGTTTCATTTGAAATTTTTATAAGTATTAAATAAGGATATGAAGAAAATTAAGTGCTTAGTAAACATGTACGACGAGATTAGTTATTATGGGACATAGAAAGTTAAAAATAAATTTGTTTTGACAGTTGGTGTCCTAACCTATGGGGGCTATTCCTCAATTATATAGTCAAACAGAAGTTATAAAGAAATAATAATTGTAAAGGTTTAGTCGAGCTACTGAAAATGTTAAACATTCTTCGTTAATTTATTGAAAATAGCACATTTGTTTAGAGAACCAGCCATTTTGAAACACATATGGGATGAATGAGTTTAGATTGTGATTATTTATGTTTCACTGTGCGTAAACTGTCACAGTCTTAATGCGGAAACGTACCTTCCGTAAAATCCTTCTGTAATTTTGTTCTTTTTCATGGGCCTTCTCATTTTAGCAATCTCAGCATTTCGCCTCTTCATAATTTCACTCAAAACCAATTCACTAAACTGATTATTTAACTCACTCCACACGAGGATTTGCAAAAATACGCGTTTCTCTCATGGATTCTCGTCACAAAAACCTTACTTTTGCGGTAAATGTCTTTTGTTGTCAACTTATGTACAGTTTCAGTCCCGCGACTTGAGAGGGCGCCACAACTGATAATTAATTAGTATAGCCAACTTTGTATGGGAATAAGTAATTAATTAAAAAAAATTATAGATAGAATGCAGACTATTGGTATTTTATATTCTAAGATTGTATATACAAAAGATATGAATCAAAACATTTTACTAGGTAATCGCGTCTACTAATCGAATTTAAAAAACGAAGAAAAAAATGGCATACACATCCTTCGATTACTGATCTGATAGTGCATAAATAAATATTTGCAGTATATTAAACAAATTCACAATTTGACTGTGTAAAATCGTTAAAAGGAATGAACATATTTTGACGCAGCTTCGTATTAATCTAGAGCATATACTACATGCGCCATTATTCCATGGCTAGAAATTGGCCTCAATGATTTGGGATCGAGGGGGATTATCCCTCTTTATCCTGCCTCATCTCGTGTAGGCCT